AAATTGGAGTGGTTTAATGAGCAGAGTAGGGATTGTATATGTATTAGGGTACTTTTATTCCAACTGTGAAGGCAGAACCTCTTTTTTTTTTTTACAATAAAATATTGAGAATGCTAGCCTGTGCTGTTTATTACTTTAGGATCTTTAAAAACATATTTTGCTGAGTGGTCCTTAGAGGTTTGGGGATTTCTATGCTATTGAGACCAGTTCATCTTGTTTTAGGAAATGAAATATGACTAACTCTTATCCTAGGTTAAAGATGTACTTAAATGGTTAAACTATTTAATGGTTCTTAGTAACTATATAATGGAAATAATAAGTAAACTTAAAAAATTAGTATTAGACTTAGTGATATTTATTTCTGATAGCTTCACTTTTTGGCTGTGCTGCTGTTTTCACCTACCAAAAAAAATCAAGTTCATTGTAAGTGCAAGGAAGGGTTTGGTTAAAGCACAATAGCCTATAAGCTCCTTGCTATTTAGATAACATCAAGGCTCAGGCATGCTCTGTGGAGTTGGGACTTCAAGTAATAGGAGCTCTACCAGTGGTAGTCAGTTGGCAGAGGGTTTATCTTCTGAAAACTTTAGTGAATTAAAAAATCCTAAATTTTAATGTCTTATTTTACAAGTAGCTCAAAAAGAGCCAAAACAAATATTTGACAGAAAATTCTTATTTGAACAATTTTTTTTGCTTAGTTTTATTTTATTTTTATTAAGAGCCAGCTTTTGAAAGCTCTGCTAACATCAGCAATTGGAAGGAATAATTATAGTGCAATTGGTAAGAAAAATTTCTTTGTTTCCTATGATCTAGACAGTGACTTGATTAAAAATGCATTCCAGCAAATCACCAAAGTTATATTTCTGTAAGTTAAATGAATTTTAGAAGTTTAATATTAATACTTCAGAAGTCCTATTTAGATTTATGGTAGGATAGTATTTAAAATGTATTTTCATCTTGATAAATCAATATGTTTTAAAATGTGTTATATAGACTTTTGTTTTTATAGAGTCATAGAAAAATAGTAAGGATCTCTAGATATATTTTTAAAATTTAAATATACATTTATAATATGTATATGTTTTAAATGTAAATTTGTAATTGTCTCGTTAGATTTTACTAAAAGTTTATGTAAAAGGTGAGTTCTTAGTAATTTTCTATGAGGTATAATATGTTTAAAGAGAATAATAATTAGTGGCTTTTAGAGCAACATTTTATTTAAATTATTTTTAATTCAATTTTGGTAAAATTGGGTAAGAGTTAAAGAATTTTACCTTTAAAGGGAAGCTAAATTTCAGAGAAATAACACTTGTAAAAAGAATAAGGAGATAATTTGTTCAAGAATTGTGTTTTTAAAAGTATGAAAATAGATTGTTATAGGCAGTGCACATTTAAAATAATAGGAATATTTTTTTGTTTTGGTCAGGCTGTAGAAGATGAAAATGCAGTTATGTTAGATTAAGGTAAAGGTTATAAATTGAATTTTAATGGCAATTCTTTTTCTAAAGTCATAAAAAGCACAAGTATTTACTAATAGATTCTACAGTGAAAAATTGAGGTTTACAAAAGTTAGGAAGCACATCTATATTTCTAGGCAATGAATAAAAAAACAAGACCAAAGACTAGTTAGATTAAAAATCCAGCAGTATGAGTTTATAGATAATGCCTGTACACAATAGGTTGAACAGTTATTTTAGATTTATAGAGGCAGAGTACTCAGATGGTTGCATTTATTGATTTAAAAACTTTATATTATGAATAATTTCTACATACTGTAAAGTAGTTAGTATAATGAACTCTCATGTACCTATTACTCAGCTTTTAACTTGGCTTTAACAGAATTCATGCCATTCCCTTGATAAATCATTTTTTTAATTTGGAAATATGCTCAAATCTGCAAAAAAGTTGATCTCTAAGTGTAAAGTTCTTCATTCCATTCCTTAATTATCCTTCTGATATGTGTAGAATCTGTAGTGATGTTTACTGTCTTATTCCTGATATTAATTTGTATCTCTCCCCCACCCCCTTCTCTTTGAGTGTTAACTAAAAATTAGAAATGATTAATTTTATTGATATCTAAGAACCAGCTTTTTATTTCATTGATTTTTTTTTCTATCTTTCTGTTTCTTATTGCATTGATTTCTACTCTGAATTTTATTATTTCCCTTCAGTGCTTACTGTAGGTATACTTTGCTATTTTCTTCCTTCTTAAGGTAGAAGCTGATGTCATGATTTCAGACTTTTTTTTTAGATACTGGGAAGTAGTGCTATAAATTTTCTAACTACTATATTAGTGGCATTCCACAAATTTTAATATGCTAATCTTCATTTTTGTTCAACTTTGGAATACTGTAGTTTCCCCATTGATTTCTTTGACTCATAGATTTTCAGAAGTGTATTATTTTGTTTCCAAATATTAAGGCTTTTCTACTTATGCTTCTGTTACTATTTTCTAATTTAATTACATTTTATTTACAACATACTTTGTGTAACTTGAATCTTTTTATGTCCCTGAATGTGGTCTTTCTTGGTAAATGTTCTGTGTACAAGTTTAAAAATATATTTTGCTGTGGTTGAGTAGAATGTTCTGTAAATTCCAATTAGGACCACTTGATTGATACTATTGTTTATATCTTCTATATCCAAACTAGTATTTTTAATTTACTTGTTCTATCTCTTATTGAGAGAGTGATATTGAAATGAAATCTCCAACAGTAATTGTGAATTTCTCTATATCCTTCCAGTTTCATTAGTTTCTGATTTGTGTATTTTGAAGGCTTGTATACATGTTTAGGATTATTATAATGTGCTTATGAATTGACTCCTTTGTCATGAAATTGCTTTATCCTTTGTAATGTTCTGACTTTGAAATCTGCTATCTGATTTTAATACATCCAGCTTTATTTTGAATAGCTCTTACATGACATATCTTCCTTTTACTTTAACCTACTTATTGTGCCTTTATATTTAAAATGCATGTAGTTGCCTATAGTTTTGCTTTTAAAAAAGTACAAGCACAACCTCTGCCTTTTAATTGATGTTTAGACCGTTTATATTTAATGTGATTTTTAATACGGTTAGGCTTCAATCAGTCATCTTCCTATTTGTTGTTAATTTATCTCACCTTTTGTTTCTGTTTTCTTTTTTCCTATTAAATCACATGAAAGTGGGCATGTGCACATTTAAATCTTGCAAGATTGGTCTATCTCTTACGAGTTCAGGTAACAGCTGCTGATCTTTTGTATAGGGAAGAGGTTGGGCTAGTAGTTCATTCTCCCCATAGTCCATAGCAGCAGGTTATGGTCCCTGAGAACATCTGCTTCCTTATATCATATTGATTTGATGGATCATTCTTAGCATGGTAGTAATATGCTTCATGGCTGTAACACTGCCTAGACTAAGAATAACTTGTTACTAAATTTTTCAAAGTTTTTTTTTTTTTTTTTTTTTAAATAATATAGCTTCTTTTGGAAAAGTTGGACCAGATATTTCTGAAGTTTCTTTTCCAAGATGGCACTAAATCATCTGTCTGTCTGTCTTAAAATTCTGTGTTTTATTTCTATAGAAAGTCCTGGTTCTACTTATCCCTCACCCCCTCTCCAGGGATACCAATAGGTAGACAAGTGCTGGGTGCTGGTATAGGAAGCATCAATATTTTCATTGGTCATTTTGTTGATATTTCAGTATTCTTATATATGGGATTAGTTTAAAATGATATAGTTGGTTTACTTGGGTGTTTTACTTGATTACTTAAGTACCAGTTAAACATTGATACATGAGTTACAAGAAATGTGATAATATGAAGTTATATAGTCTACTAGGATAAATAATTTCCTAACATTTGTAAACATTGAATAGCTAATGCTATTTTAGCACAAGTGTTATTCACTCAAGTAATTTTTGAGTGTCTACCATGTATCAGGCCTCTACTACACACTGGTTAGATGAGTTAGAAACATGGCATTAGGAATGAGAGAGGTTTTATTACCTACCACTGTTTTGCAGAAATCAGCCTAGTTTAAGCAGTGGCTCTCCAAGTCTTTGGGTTCAGACTGGTAACCTTTCATGTTTATTGTGAACTCTAAAAAGCTTTTGTTTATGTGCATTATATCTGTTAATAGTTAAAATTGATATAGATTTATGAGAATATTAGTTTAATAAGATGTGACAATAATACATTTATTACATATTAAGTAACATTTTTTTCTGAAAAATATTTATTTGCCATAACCAAAAAGTTTCATGAGAAAATAGGCATTGTTCTGTAATTTGCAAATCTCTTTAATGTGTGGCCGATTGTTTATAATTAATCTCATTTTTTTTTTTTTAATACTGGGGAAAAACTTTGTTGATGAGCTCAATGAATTTTCTCCTAGACTAGCATCTTAAGTAGTCAGAAACTGTCAAAAGATTGCTTATCGGAAATCAGTTGAGTGATCTCTAATAGTGGTACACATACTGTAGGGATTGACTAATGGCCAAAGAATGTCATTCATGTAATAGCTTGCTTAGTAAACATTCGTTGGATAATACTTTAATCCCTAAGAGGTTTTGGGTTGGTTTCACTGCTGGTTGGTTTCACTTCATTATATCTCAAGCAATAAATTGAATTGTATGAAGCACTTTACGGAACAACTAGGTTACGACTCTGAATCTGGGTAATGAAAGGGAAGATTCTGTAGTATTTTCTCCCAAAATTTAAATTGTTTTGTAGCAAGGCTATTGCTAGTAGAAATTTATGAATGAAATATACCATGTTTTGTGATTGTAAGTAATGCAGGTGCAAGAACTGGCACACCATTGAAAATGTCATTTGAACCAGCTAGCAATTTAGTGATTATTTAAGTACCAGTTAAACATTGATACATGTGTCACAACAAGAAATGTAATAATATGAAGTTATATAGAATACTAGGAGAAATAATTTTCTAACATTTGTTCCCTTCATCTCTTAGTTGTCTTCAACTGTTCTGAAGTACAAGACCTTTTAAATCACTGTAGATATGGACAAAGAAGAAAGGAAGACTATCAACCAGGGTCAAGAAGATGAAATGGTAACCAATATTATTTACTTATAAAGTGTGAAGAATTTATCTCTGCAATTTATTATACTAACGAAGTAGAAAAGTAAATTAAAAAACAAATTAAAACAAAGCTAAGTCAATGTGTTTTCTTCATCCTGACTGTGTATTTTCATTGGGATTATGTAACATTTCTATTTGTTTTAGAATAATTCCTGTTTCACTTCTGAACTGTTAAAACCTAGAGGAAGAAGTATGTTTTTTCATTTGGTAATTTGAGAAGTTATGTTAGCTAATGCTTAAAATATAATTCCAAATCCAAGATTTCTAACTTTGATTTATAAAATGTTTAAAATCAGCTTAATTTAAAAAGCACACTTTTCCATTTTTTCTGTGTGTGGCGAATGGAAGGAGATAGTTGTCAGATAAAATACAAGGTGGGGAAAAAGTAGTTTACAATTGTTTACAATTGAAAATAATACATCCTATATAATAAAGAGGTAATATGAAAATTGACCATCATGCCCTCATATAAGATGGCCATCCCATGTGGTTTCCAGATGGTTGCCCCATGTGGTCACAAAATGGCCACCACAAGATGGCCAGCAGGGTCAGGGCAGTTGTGGGCAAGCAGGCCAGAGGGGAGGGCAGATGGGGGTGACCAGGCTGGCAGGGGAAGGTAGTTAGTGGGGGAGGGGAAAGGCCTGCAGCAGAGGGCAGTTGGGGGGGAAGGGGACCGCAGTGGAGGGCAGTTAGGGGCAATCAGGTCAGCAGGGGAGGGCAGTTGGAAGCAACTGGGCTGGCAGAGGAGGGTAGTTAGGGGTGACCAGGCTGGCAGGGGAGGGGTGTTGAGGGTGACCGGGCCGGCGGGGGGGGGGCAGTGGGAGGGACCAAGCCTGCAGGGGAGGGCAGATGGGGGTGACCAGGCCTGCAGGGGAGGGCAGTTGGGGGTGACCAGGCTGTCAGGGGAGGGCAGTTGGAGACAATTGGGCCAGGGGAGCAGTTAGGCATTGATTAGGCTGGCAGGGGAGTCATTAGGGGGTGATCAGGCTGGAAGGCAGAAGCAGTTAGGGGCAATCAGGCAGGCAGGCAGGTGAGCAGTTGGGAGCCAGCAGTCTTGGATTGTGAGAGGGATGTCTGACTGCCAATTTAAACCGGCAGTTGGACATCCCTCTAGGGATCCCAGATTGGAGGGGGTGCAGGCTGGGCTGAGGGAGCCCCCCCTTCACTAATTTTGTGTACTAGGCCTCTAGTTATTAAAAAATAATACAATAACATAGTGTTTTGAGTACTTACAGTATTTTCAGGCTTATAAGATGACTTTTGAAACGAAAAAAAGCCTGCTTAGATTGGCCGGTGTCAGAGAGGCAGTCTATTAAAAAAAGAACTGGTGTTGCCTTGGAAGTGGGGGGTAGTCTTATACAGCGAATGTAGACCTAAACCTATGTTTTAACTGTAAAATTAGGGGGGGGGTCATCTTATACGCCCGGTCGTTTTATACACCAGAAAATACAGTATAACTGTAAATCTACTTTTGTTCTACCGTATATAAGACTCCCTGTGAAATGTTTTTTTTTTTTAAATTTTTATTGATCATATTATTACAAATGTTCTCCCCCCCCCCCCTCCATTGCTCTCCTCCACCAGGTTCCCACCCCACCCTCTGCCTCCTCCCTACCCCCCCATTGTCCTCATCCATAGGTGCACAGTTTATGTTCAGTCTCTTCCCACATCCCCCTCTCCCCTTTTCCCCATGAATCGTCAGTCCACTCCCCTTCCATACCTCTGAGTCTATTATATTCAACAGTTAATATTGTTCATCAGATTTTTTTTTTTTAGTTACGTATTTGTTGTTCATAATGTTTATCTTTATTTACTTTCTCTTCTGAAAGAACCCCCTTCAGCAATTCATATAATTCTGGTTTGGTGGTGATGAACTCCTTTAGCTTTTTTTTTTTATTATTAGTGAAGCTCTTTATCTGACCTTTGATTCTGAGTGATAGCTTTGCTGGGTAGATTATCTTTGGCTGTAGGTTCTTACTATTCATCACCTTGAATATTTCTTGCCTTTCCTGTCTGGCCTGCATGGTTTCTGTTGAGAAATCAGCTGACAATCATATAGGTGCTCCTTTATAGGTAACTACCTGCTTTGCTCTTGCTGCTTTTAATATTCTCTCTTTGTCTTTTGCTCTTGGAATTTTAATTATGATGTGTCTTGGTGTGGTCCTCTTTGGATTCTTTTTGTTTGGAGTTCTGTGCGCTTCCTGGACTTGTAAGTCTAATTCTTTCACCAGGTGGGGGAAGTTTTCTGTCACTATTTTTTTCAGTATGTTTTCTATATCTTGCTCTCTCTTATCTTCTGGGACCCCCATAATTCTGATGTTGGTTCGCTTGAAGTTGTCCCAGAGGTTTCTTACATTATCTTCAATTTTCTGGATTCTCTTGCCTTCTATCTTCTGCGGAGGAGTGTTTTCTGACTCCTTATGTTTCCAAACTTTTACTTGACTCTTACGATCTTCCATTCTGTTTTTAGGACTCTGTATAATATTTTTTATTTCAGACAATGTATTCTTTATTTCTTGTTGATCCCTTATCATTTCTTGTTGATTCCTTATTAATTCTAGTTGATCCTTTTTCATATCCTCATAGGTCTTATTGATCTTTTCTAGGAAATTCTTGAAAAACCTTATAAGCGTAGATTTGAACACTATATCCAGTCGCTTTTTGTCCTCCATTTCTTTCGTTTGTGATCTATTTCGTCTCAGCATTTTCGCAGTTTCCCACATTTTCGCAGTTTCCCAGATGGGGCGGGGTTTCAGGGTGGAGCCTACAGCTTTGGCTTCCGTCAGCCTGCCTTATGTGGCTCCTGCATCTCAGGGTCCTTCAGTACTCCTTGCAAGCACCTCTGAGAGAAAGGTGCCCTCGATTTTCGCCTGCTACCAAACAGTCTAGGCTCTCCCTCTATGAGTCCTGTATTGGGGTTCAGTTCAGTTGGAAGTGGAGTTGGAGGTGGTGTTCAGAGCAGTCTGGAGCCCCTGTCTCCTTCCCGCCAGGGCAATCCCGCGGCACAGCCAACCGTCCCTTCTTTGCGCGCAATGTGCGCTCCGCCGGGACCACCTTTCACCGCTCCCCCTCGGTTCCGCCTTACAGCCCAGCTCCCTCTGTTTGAGCCTGGGTCCCCGGGGTCTGGCCTAGAACTGGGTTCAGAGCAGTCGGACTGGGGCCAAGCACAGTCGGAGCTTTTATCTCCTTCCTGCTAGGGAATGCCAGCCAGGCACTCAGCTGCCCCGCCCTTCCTCTCCGGCTCTGTCCTCTTCGCGCGCCGTGTATCTCCGTACCTTAGGCTTTTACTGCTCCTCCGCGCTTTCTTCTGGTTTTCTCCTTGCTTCTTGTTGTAGAATTTAGTCAGACGACTTTCCTGTAGTTCTGGGTAATGTCCATTTTATATTTTAGTTGTATCTTATTGAAATTGTTGTGTGCGGATGTGGCTAGGTGTCTACCTGTTCAGCCATCTTGGATTCTCCTCCCTGTGAAATGTTAAATGTGGATTTCAGATAATCAAGGAATACATTTAAAAAAAAATATATTTTATTGAGTTTTTACAGAGAGGAAAGGAGAGAGATAGAGAGCTAAAAGCGTTGATGAGAGAGAAACATCGACCAGCTGCCTCCTGCACACCCCCTACCGGGGATGTGCCCACAACCAATGTACATGCCATTGACCGGAATCGAATCTGGGACCTTTCAGTCCGCAGACTGACGCTCTACCACTGAGCCAAACCAGCTTCGGCAAGGAACACATTTGTAATATAAGTATGTCCATAATATTGCAAAGGGCAACAAAAAAATTAACTAGTTTTTGTTATTATCTGAAATTTGAATTTAAATAGGCCCTTTCATTTTTATTTGCTAAAATTGGCAGCTCTTGTTAGGGTAACTGAAACAATTTGAATAATTTGGGTCAAAAGATTAGATTGATCAATAACAGTAGTATTGAGACAATTAAAGATTTGGGTAAAAAAAAAAGTTAAAACTTAACTAAATGCAACATAATATTCTAAATTATATCCTGAAACAAAAATAAGATGGTGAAAAAAATGGTGAAATCCTAATAAAGACAAGATTTACTTAATATAATGTACAATGTTAACATTTTTTATTCTTATACATTTTTATTGATTTCAGAGAGGAAGTGAGAAAGAGAGAGAGAGAGAAACATCAATGATGAGAGAAAATCATCAATAGGCTGCCTCTTGCATTGCCCTCCTACTGGGAATCAAGTCTGCTCATGTACCTTGACTGAGAATTAAACTGAGGCCTTCTGGTTCATAGGTCGATGCTCAACCAGTGAGCCACACTTGCTGGACTAATCTTTTTTATTTTGAAAAATGTACCAAGGTATTAACATTAGTGGAAACAGGATAAAGAATATACAGAAACTCTTAATATTTTTGTAGCTTTTTAGCAAATTGGGAATTATTTCAAATATAGTTTATTAAAAAAAAAAACACCTATCTTATAACGAGAAAAGTTCTAGAAAAATTCAAAAGATAAATGTAAAAATCTAATAAAAGAGAAAGATGCAAATTGACCGTACTTTTGTGACACCCCATCAGCCAATCAGGAGTGAGTATGCAAACTAACCCAACACAGATGGCGGGCTAATTTGCATAGGCAGGCGTTTTGCACTGCCTCTGGCTGCTCTGGGCCTCTGGATAGCATGGGAAGGCTGGAAGGCAGCTCTGGGCCAGAGCAAAAAGGCGGTTCTGACCGGGGCCAAGGTGATGCTGGCAGCCAGAGGAAGGGAGGCCAGTTTTGCATGAATCTTCGTGCATTGGGCCTCTAGTGGAATTATAAAAATTCTAGGAAAGTATATTAAATGTGAATGTACTATATCAGTGGGAAAGCATTACGATATGTTACTAATGATAACATCAACTGTAGAAAGTAATGTGTAAATATCAACAGATTTTGCCACTTAAAAGTATACCTTTGACAATGAGCTTATCAGAAACAAAATTTAAAGATAAAATTATGGGATGAGAAAATATTTGTAGTTTATTTGACAAGACAACAACCATTTGGAAAACAAAGAACTTTGGAATTTATCTTTCATATCATTTGATGATTAATCATGATTACTATGTCCATGCAGGAAATTTATGGCTATAATTTGTGTCGCTGGAAGCTCGCTATAGTTTCTCTAGGAGTGGTTTGCACTGGTGGCTTTCTCCTCCTCCTCCTCTATTGGATGCCTGAGTGGCGGGTGAAGGCAACCTGTATTAGAGCTGCAATTAAAGACTGTGAAGTGGTGCTGCTGAGGACTACTGTAAGTCCGCAGATTTACTTGTACTGTAGCTGATTATTTGAGGAGTAAAAGAATGTCTTTGTGTGTACTTTTTTCAATATCCAAAGCCCTAATATGTAAATCTACCAAATGGTTGAACCACTGATGGAATAGTCGCTATGATGAGCACTGACCACCAGGGGTCAGATGCTCAACGCAGGAACTTCCCCCTAGTGGTCAGTTTGCTCCCACAGGGGGAGCACCACTCATCCAAAAGCTGGGCTCAGGGATGGCAAGCTCAGAGGAGGTGGCTGGAGCCTCTCCCATCTCAGCTGCTGACGGGTGATAAGAAGCTAGTGGTCCTGGACTGTGAGAGCCCAGAGCCCTGAACTGGGAGAGGGATATCTGCTGGCTTAGGCCTGATACCCCAGCAAGCAGACATCCCCAGAGGGGTCCTGGACTGGGCGAGGGCGCAAGCTGGTTGAGGGACTTCTCCCCCCACCTCCAGTGCACAAATTTTGTGCACAAGGCCTCTAATATATGAAGAGAATACCACTGTAAGATATAATGAGGAATACTAATCCTAGTATTTCTAAGTCACCTGTGTTTGAAGTGAATATTATCAGAGCAATTAGAGTATAAGGAATCTTAAAGATGATCAAATGCAACACTTCCCTTTTTTTTTTTTTTAATATATTTTATTGATTTTGTACAGAGAGGAAGGGAGAGAGAGAGTTAGAAACATTGATGAGAGAGAATCATCCATCAGCTGCCTCTTGCAAACCCCCTACTGGGTATGTGCCCGCAACCAAGGTACATGCCCTTGACCGGAATCGAACCCGGAACCTTTCAGTCCCCAAGCCGACGCTCTATCCATTGAGCCAAACCGGTTTCGGCACTGCAACACTTCCTTTTAAGCTTTTGATGCTCTGAGAGATTAGATGCTATCCTTCAAGGTCACCAGATAGTTAGGACTATAGGATCTCTCATTCACCAAACCAGTTGCTTCTATTATGTTATGCTGTTACATCCCAGGGTGTTGGGTTTATTTGTTTTTCAATGATCCTACCTGGAAGTATTTTATAGGATATGTTAATATTTATATAGTCTAAATATGTTGGGTAAATTAAGAAAGTACTCATGGACTTCTATGGGATATTGTGTTAGTGAAGTATGCCATTTAAAGTTGTAAGCTCTTCACATTTGAATTTATACATCTTTATGAAATGGTTTAATAGTAGGAAGTGATGTTTTCTCAGAGATGAGTAAATATCATAAAGAATGGAAATCAAATAAAAATGTAGGCAGTTGTGTAATATACATAATTGACTCTTTACCTTTCTCTCTTGTAAGGATGAATTCAGAATGTGGTTTTGTGCAAAAATTCGCTTGCTTTCTCTGAAAACTCATCAATTTTCGAGTCCAAAATCTATGGCTAATAAGATTTCAAATGGCCATTCTGTTCTTTTAACTGAAAATCTGGCTGAAGAGAACAGGCATGAGATAAGTAAATATTCACAGACACAATCAGAACAGGTATTGTAATCTTAGTTTCAAGGTTTCTTTAAAAATTAAATTGTTACATTTTATGCTATCATGTATAGTTGTAATTTTGTGTTTGGAGTTATTTTTGAGATAAACTTATATGCATTTAAATACCTGTTTATCACTGTATTATAAAAGTTTAGGTATTACTAAAAGAAATTACATTTACATTTCATATGTAATCACTTTAAATTTAATATGTTGTTAGATGATAGATTTGTCTTAGTAATTGAGAACAGGTGATGATAATGCTTGAGAACAGGTGATGATAATGTTTTTTGATGTAACATTTATGTGTTTTACAGATTCGTTATTTCACCCACCATAGTGTAAAATATTTCTGGAATGATACCCTTCACAATTTTGATTTCTTAAAGTAAGTGATTTTCTTTTGTTTGGATTATATTATAAGTATATTGAAAATGTTCTAGATAGAAAAGAATTCATTGTAATGTTACATAAAATTGAATAGGTTTTATTGAAGAACTTTTATTCATTTATTCATTAGCAACTTTTTTTGAATACTGATTAACCATTTTAGAATGAAATGTCACTTGCAACTTGTATCTTGGCAAAATTTACATAAAAAATGAAAAAGTAGTATGATCCTAAAATCCACTGCATCTGAGTTCTTTTCTTTTTGAGGGTTCACCTCAAAGTGAACTTTGAGAATACCTATCTGAACTGTTACCTCCCAATATGCCACAGTTCCACCCACTTTTACTTGAGGAATGAAGAGATAGAAATTTAACTTCACTATGTAAATAAAGATGGGACATTGTCAAATGTGTTAAACGTTGGGTAGGACAAATTGGCGTAATCTCTTAAAATTTATCACTGGATAAGTTTTTGTGGAGGCTTCAAGTTATATAAGTACTAATTAATTAGAATTCTATTTTTATTGCCTTTGTTAAAGGGATTCTTATAAAAATTCAAGTATCATTGCTTGAGAGTGCTAAAGGAATTCTTAATATTAGCAATCCTCCAAACCCCCTGACACTAAAGAATTAGAATATGCTGGAATGGACCAAGACATTTTCAAATGGTTGTGAAGACCATTCCTAGTTAAGAACCATTGCCTTACAGAATATTGCCAATGAGCTGGTGTTTCGGTTTAAAAAAAAAATTGACTTGGAGCTGATTGCTGCTGCCTCTGGAGAAGTCATCAATTTCAGTGGGAAAAAAGCATGTATTAGATCAGGGAACGATTTCAGTGAATGCTTTTATAGGAAGAAAATAAGTGAATAGGATTTCTTACTGTGAAGCTTAAAGAATTAAAGAGGGGGGGGAACTAACTAAAGAGTAAAACATTTTTTCATTATTAGTTTGGAATTCTCAAACTATCATACTTTAATTTTATTAGTCTACGGTAGTTAATTAGCTCTTACAGCTTTGGAGCACAGCCTTAAAGGATAATAATAATATTATATAAACACAAATATTTAAAGCCATCTTATCTTGTGATAGATACATTTTATAACATAGAAGTTGCCACTTTTGAGATTTAGAACTTTTACTACTGTTTATCTTAGGGATGTTTAGATTTTAAAATTCCCATTCATTATCTCATTTTTTATTAAGGATTTCTGTTTGTAAGGAAGTCACACTTTAAAATCAGACTATAGAAAAATGAGGCATTAAGACATTTGGATATTTTAAACTTTGTTTAAAGTAAAAACTTTGGATTTATTTAGGGGACTGGATGAAGGTGTTTCTTGTACGTCAATTTATGAAAAGCATAGTGCAGGACTGACAAAGGGGATGCATGCCTACAGGTAATTTTTATCCAACTAAAGTCAGATCTATTATCAAAATTACGAAATACAGTAGTATGTATAGTTTACCCTTTACCATATAGTTGTACATATTAACAGATATTTAAATATTATAGATATAGTACTTGACAACTTATTGATCTTTTATTTGGGTAAGGCTATCTTTCAGATTAAGAGTTATAAAAATACTGGAGCTGATATGAAGTTGATATCCCTAAAAATATACCATATTCATCAGTTCTAAGGTGTATATTTACCCACATTTTAACATTCCTAAAGGGAATGTGTTAGTTATACAGTGCATGGAGAGTCATCTTTTGTCTTTCTTAATTTTATATACAATAATGGGTATATCTTATAATTGATAGCATCTTGGACTTTACTGCTATATATTGGGAATTATAAGTATGAGCTCAAATTTATTACAGTGAAATTTTATAAATTGGAAGACAATCTTTTGTTATCATATTATTGTCTGCTAAAGTATTAAAATGTATTGGTGTATTGCATATTTAAAGATAAGTGTCATTTTCAAATTAAGTTAGAAATTTTCTTATAGTAAAATGCATATCTTTTCAAAGTGTTAAGAATATAGTAGTAAGAGTCTCTTCGTTTACACTAATGATTCTTAAAAGGCAAGAATTACTCTATCATATATAAAGTATTATTATAAGGACTTTAAGCAGAAGGATTTAAACAGTTTTTCTTTTTTTATTGTTAATCCTCATGAAAGGATATTTTTTAAGAGGGGCAAAGAGAGGGAGAGAGAAAGGAGATAGGAGGAGGAGGAGAGAGGAGAAAGGAGACAGGTAAGAGAGAGAGAGAGAGAGATATGTAGAGAGACACATCTGCCTGGATGGGCTGGGGATTGAACCTGTAACCCAGGTGCAAGCCCTTGACCGGGACAGTGACACTGTTAACCACTGAATAATACTGGCCAGGGCTAAGCAACTTTTTAAAAGTATTTTTTTTAAAGAAAATGTTCCATACACAGTTCTTTGAAATGAACATACACACACACACACACATACATACATACATACACAAACACACACACACACACACACACACATACACACACACACATATATTGATTTCAGAGAGGAAGGGAGAGGGAGAGTGAGTTAGAAACATCAATGATTAAAGAGAATCATTGATTGGCTGTTTCCTGCATGCCTCACACTGGGGATTGAGCTCGGGATCTAGGCATGTGCCCTGACTAGGAATGGAACTGTGACCTCCTGGTTCATAAGTCAAAGCTTAACCACTGAGCCACGTCAGCTGGGCATTTATTTTGTTTTGTTAATCCTTACCCGAGGATATTTTTCCCATTATTTTTTTTTTTTAAGGGTGAATGCAAGGGAGGGGGAGAGACAGAGAGAAACATTGATGTGAGGTACACATCAACTGGTTGTCTCCTGCACATACCTCAGTGAGGGCTGGAGATCAAGCCTGCAACTGAGGTATGTGCCCTTGACTAGAATCATACCTGAGACCCTTCAGTGGGCAGGCCGATGCTCTAACCATTGAGAAAAATTGGTTAGGGCTTAATACAATATTCTTTTTTTAAAAAAATATTTTTTTGATATATTTTACTGATTTTTATTTATTTATTTATTTATTTATTTATTTATTTTACAGATAGCAAGGGAGAGGAATAGAGAGTTAGAAACATCAATCAGCTGCCTCCTACACACCCCCTACCGGGGATATGCCTGCAACCAAGGTACATGCCCCTAACTGGAATCAAACCTGGGACCCTTCAGTCCATAGGCCGGCACTCTATCCACTGAGTCAGACTGGTTAGGGTTCTTTATTTTTAATCAATTTTTATTGATTTCAGTGAAGAAGGGAGAGAGAGAAAAAGATAGAAACATCAATGATGAGAGAGAATCATTGATTGGCTGCCTTTTGCATGACCCCCACTGGAGGTCAAGCCTGCAACCCAGGCATGTGTTCTTGGCTGGAATCGAACCTGGAACTCTTCAGTCCACAGGCCAATCATTTATCCACTGAGCCAAACAAACTAGGGCAAAGTACAATATTCTTATTAGAAAAATAGTACTGGGTCCCTTAAATTTATTTAATTAGGTTTTGCAAAAATTACTTGCAATTCATGAATTTTTGTTTGAGAACGGAAAAGAAAATCTTTGCTGACATTATTATAGACTAGTTAGAAAGATATATGTCACACAAAAAGATATGAGATAGGATAAATCAAATGATAGCTGTATAGTTATCCAGTATTACCTATTTAATTTAAATACTAAAGGTAGAGAATTTGAATTGTAGAAGACAAGCATATAGAAACATGAATGTGTAAGTTCTAGTTTAGGAGCAGTCTGTGGTTTGAGCTTTATGTAATGAAGTAACTTCCCAATATTACACTATTATTATGTAATGTAATGCAATGTAATGTAATACTGTTACTATATTTTCTTGTCATAGAAAATTGCTTTATGGAATAAATGAAATTTCTGTGAAAGTGCCTTCTGTTTTTAAGCTTCTAATTAAGGAGGTAAGACTATTATTGTACATGTCTCAATATTTGTAGTCAATAGAGTTGTCAATTTGAAAAGAGCCATAATTTAAGTAATAAAACACTCTTAATTTTCTGTTTATCATCTTTTACTAGCGTCCTGATGCACAGATTATTGCACATTGAAAATAAAATAATTAGAAGAGATATTGTAATACCACTATTTGCCCTTTTTCTGTAATAGAAGTGTCAGAGATGAAAGAAAATTAGTAAAATGTATATGAAAATATTGTATAAATTGATTAATGAATAAACAATAACAACAACAAAGATATGATATAAAAACAAAAAAGATATAAAAACAAAAACATGATATAAAAACAACAGTGATAAAAACAATGACTGATAAATTGATAAAACTTATTCTAATATCTCCCTGTGTACCACATTAAGAGTAAAAACACTTTCAGAGTGCTTGACTAATTTCCCTTGTGATGAAGTATTTACAACTTTAACGTTCCACACTCTTCGAACTTGAGAGAAAACAAGATATAGCTGACCATGTTCGAAAATGGGTTCCTACTTTGTCTAGAGTTTGTCCTTTGGTTTATTAATAGTCACCGCAAATGTTGGCATCAGGGAAACTGTCTTCGAATTAATTTAAATGGAAAGCACAAATCAATTCTTGGAATCAGAACAACCTCTTCTTCCTCAGATCCTGTTAATACTTCAGCTTTGATTATGTTAGGTCGCAACTATTTGATAATAAATCTAGTACCAATTCAAAGACCCCTTTAGCTATTAAGATTTCTCTGTAGCATGATGATTGCACCTACTTTCAATTTTAACTTATGACACAACATTCCTGAAGGAGTAATACTATTAAAGGAATTTGGTGGGAAAATTTTCCTTTTAGGCATCATCCATTGAATCGACGGAATCATTACTCAAGTGTGAAAATCTCCATCAAGTATATCCAAAATTTCTTCATTTAATTTATGAAAGTCCTCATTTTTTGGATAAAGAATCACGTTTAGTTATATTTTTAATATTACCTATAGATGTACTATTTCCAAAGGTAGCTTCAATAATAGATGTTACAAATCATTTCAACAAAAACAACCAAATTCACGATCGACAGTGACAGACGGAAACATGCGTGCATCTGACGTCATTGAGAGCTTTATATGTATTATGAGTATGTGAGTCAATGTTTATTTTTAAATTGCCAGTGCATGTCATATATACTAGCTGGTTGGTTGTATATGTGTGGGTGGTTGGTCACTTAGCCTTTTATATATATAGACTAGAGGCCCGGTGCATGAAATTCGTGCATGGGAGGGGGGGGGTCTCTCAGCTCAGCCTGCACCCTCTCCAATTCAGGATTCCTTGGGGGATGTCTGATTGCTTCTCCCAAACCAGGACCACTGGCTCCTTACCACTTGCCTGCCTCACTGCCTGATTGCCCCTAACTGCTCTCCTGATGGCCTAATCACCCTTAACTGCCTCTATCTCACACTGTACCCAGGACCTAGGTTTTCCTCCTCCTGCTGGTCGCAGGCACTGGCACCCTGGCTTCCCTCCCTCTGACTAGCCAAAGGCACCCAGAACCTGGACCAGCTTCACCCAGGCCAGCCGTAGCTGCAGGGGGGGAGAGGGTGGGTGGCTTCACCCATGTTGCCTGGGACTGGGGCAGGTGGCTTGTCCCTCTCTTGGGCGGGAGTACTGCAGCCATAGGTACTGGTGCCCGGGACTGCGGGACGTGTAGTTTATTCCTCTTCCCGGCCGTAGGCACAGGCGTGGGCACAGCTTCTGGCTCCCGGGACCCTGGGGTGGGTGGCTTGTCCTGGCGCCTGGGACTGCGGCAAACGTGGGGCATGTGGATTGTACCTCTCCTAGGCTGTAGGCACAGGCACAGCCTCTGGCACCCGGGATCACATGGTGTGGGCTTGTCCCTCTCCTGGGCTGCAGGTGCAGGCACAGCCGCTGGCGCCCAGGACTGTGGTGTGGTGGCTTGGCCCTCCCCGGGGACTGCAGGGCATGTGGCTTGTCCCCCTCTTGGGCCACATTCACAGGCACAGGTGCAGCTGCTGGCACCTAGGACTGTGGGGCGGGCGGCTTGTCCCTCTCCCAGACTGCAGGTGCAGGCGCAGGCGTAGCGCTGGCACCCGGGACCTCGGAATGGGCGGCTTGTCCCTCTCCTAGGCTGCATCCTGGCTGTCCCCACTCCTCTCTTGCAAGCTCATTTGTGCCTGGCTGGTCCATACTTCTCTCTCCCCAGTGTTGAGTGTCTGGCAGTTATGGCGTGATGGTATGAGAGCGTGACAACGTGAGAGTGTGATGACCATTTGCATATTATCTATTATATAGGATTTCTTTATTTTTATTGTTTCTTTTTATTTTTTTTCCACTTGGAAGGTAAAGTTAATAACTCAAATAATTTAGTGTATGACTTTCCTTTTTTATTTGTCTAATTTTTTTTGTTTTGTTCTGTAGATTATTATTATTATTATTTAATATATTTTATTGATTTTTTACAGAGAGGAAGGGAGAGCGATAGGGAGGTAGAAATGTCGATGAGAGAGAAACATCGACCAGCTGCCTCTTGCACACCCCCCACCGGGGATGTGCCCGCATCGGATGTGCCCGATGTGCCCCACCGGGGATGTGCCCGCATACGTACATGCCCTTGACCGGAATCGAACTTAGGACCGTTCAGTCCGCAGACCGACGCTCTACCACTGAGCCAAACCAGTTTCGGCTATTATTTTTTTTTGTTCTTAGGAAATTACACATCTAAATCTTGCCCTATCTTACAGATGTATACTCCTGCTTTTTTGTTTTCTGATTTAAAAAATATATATATTTTATTGAGTTTTTACAGAGAGGAAGAGAGAGGGATAGAGAGTTAGGAACATTCTTGCACACCCCCTACTGAGGATGTGCACACAACCAAGGTACAAGCCCTTCCTTGACTGGAATCGAACCTAGACCCTTCAGTTCGAATCCACTGGGCCAAACTGGTTTTGGCTGTTTTCTGATTTTTAAACAATTTATCATGTGAACTGATGTTTATATTGAGGAATTTGCACTTTAACCTGGGAAGAAAACATGTCAGTACTTTTTGTAGTGACTGTTCAGTTGTAATCCTATATAATAAAGGGATAATATGAAAATAGAGCGGACAACAGGACAATTGAACAACCATTCAAAGCATAATATGCTAATGATATGCTAAGGCTGCTCAACCACTTGCTATGACATGTATTTACCACCAGGGAACAGTCAGTCTCCTGGTGACCAGTTGCTATGACGTACACTGACCACCAGGAAGCAGTGCTCTGACTGATAGGTTAGCTTGTTAGTTCCGGCCAGTGGTCCCTCCCTGGCCCAATCCCCGGCCCAATCATGCACCAGTGGGGCCCCTCAGCCTGGCCTGTGCCCTCTTGCAATCCGTGACCCCTTAAGGTATGTTGGAGGGCTGGTTTCAGGCTGATCCAGCAGGCCACTCTTCTTGGGAGGGTGCCAGATGCAGGGCTCTTAGCTGGTGGGATGAGCAGGAGCTGCAGGCAGTGTTGGACTGAGGGTTTCAGCTGGATCTCTGCAGGCCACCCAGAGTTCATGCACTGGGCCTCTAGTTGCTATAGAAGAGGTTTGAATAAAGGTTGTGCATATAAAGGAAGGGAATAAGATGTTGTCTAGCAGTTAGACTTTCCAATCCGTCTTTTAATTTTTTGCTAAAGATCAAGTTAGTTTGTATTCAGTGAATAATTTTAGTAGAAATAAAAGATTGTTTTAATCAGTTGCCAAGAGTGACTATATGATGTTGCTTTAGAATATAACAAAATATAATGATTAGGAATTAGAAAGCTCTGTTTGTAACATGGTTCCATCAATAACTAGCTTTGGTCATCAGAAAATCTTTCTCTTTGCTGCTCCTTTACTTATAAAAGTAGAGCAAGTCCTTTCTGATCTCATTCTGATTATCTAAATAAAAGTTAGAAAACAGAAAACTAAGAATGCATTCTTAAATTAAATTGTGGCTCTTTATAATTTGGAAGTAAAATGGGACTATGTATGTAAAGTGCCTTGAAAAGGACAGAAGTGTCAGTTTTACGACATTGGGGTAGTACATGCTTATCCTAAGGTATCCTATCTAATAAAGAAGGAATATGCTAGTTGAACCTCACTCTGTCACAAAGATGGTGGCATCCACGGCCAATAGGAGGGGATATGCTAATTGACTGCCCCACCCTTAAAGATGGCGGCACCCACAGCCAGTAAGGAGGGAATATGCTAATTAACTGCCTCTCCTCAAAGATGGCAGCACCCACAGCCTAAATAAGGAGGGAATATGCTAATTGACTGTACCGCCCTCCAAGATGGTGGTGCCCAGTTCCCTCAGCCCCGCCGGGCAGCAGGAGCTCCGCATGCCTGCCTCCGGAGTCCCCCAGTTCTCAGTCTCCCAGCTTCCCAGGGCCAGCCCGAGGTGCAGGCAAGCCTCGGATGGTGGTTGTCCAGCCGCCCAGAGCTACCAGAGCTAGTTGAGGTAACCAGGACCAGTTGAGGCTTGCACTGCCAGCAGTGGCAGCAGCAGAGGTATGATGGAGCGTCACCTTCCCCTGATTGCATGGTCGCTCCCTGCCCCAGAGGCAGCTCCCACACTGAGGGACCCACTCCCCCCTCCAGTGCATGAATTTTCAGGCACTGGGCCTCTAATCTTAAATAAAAAGATGGAAAATCTGCATGATTATAAACATTTTATTCACTTTGACTTAAAAATCTTGGGGGTTTTTTTGTGTTTTTTTTTAGGTTCTCAACCCATTTTACATTTTCCAGCTGTTCAGTGTTATACTGTGGTGCACTGATGAATACTATTACTATGCTCTAGCCATTGTGATTATGTCTGTAGTATCAATTCTAAGTTCTCTATATTCCATTAAAAAGGTAAGTTCAATTTATTATGTATTTCACAACTATATTTACATTTTGTAAGGTGCGTAGAATAGTGCTTGATACAAAGTAATACTCAATTCAGATTTTCTTTTAGTTATGAATATGTCTTTTTTTTGAGGTGGGAAGGCATATGTTTTTTAGAGTCAGTTTATTACTTGACTACTTAGAGGCCATAGTAGGGGTCTATAGTTGTTTTTCATAGACTGATTCTAGTGTTTTCAGGGATAAAGTGCTTCTTTTATCTAGCTAAAACATCAAAAAAATTTTAAATCTTTTAGTCTTGAGAATTTTAAGGGGGGCAGAGTTATAAGCATTTATTATATTAACTTTATTTTATAGTACCTTTATTTTTTAATATATTGAAGAGTGGTTTATATTAGCTAGTTTTTATTTTTCTTATTTCAGCAATATATCATGTTGCATGACATGGTGGCAGCCCACAGTACTGTGAGAGTTTCAGTTTGCAGAGTAAATGAAGGTAAGTACTTCAGGTGACTCTTGACAAAAATAAACCAAAAAAGATTTCCATTAAGCATTAACATATGAAGTAAGCCAATGTATTCATTATACATTCTTTTCTTAATATATGTGTAAATTTGTACTCATCTCTTAGTTTGTATCAAATTAATTCATTTATATGAAATTGTGTTTTTCTACAATGTAACAGCTATTATACTAGGCTATGGGGATGCAGTGATTACTAAGAAGGTCATAGTTGTTGCATCACTAAACTTCAGACTAGTTGGAAAGATAGATGATAAATTGGATAATCAAGTGTGACAAAGGGAGCTTATTAGATATTAGAGTTCATTTACTGTAGATGTCAGGGATGGCTTCTTTATAAAAGTATTTTGTAAGAGGTTGAATTAGATAAGAGGTAGGTGAGAAGATAGTATGGTGGAGATGAAGGAAGAGGGTTCTAAGTGCCCAAAGACCTAGAGTTTGGTCATTGTAATACTGAAAGAAATTCAGTTTGGCAGATGTAAAAAGTAGATGATGGACAGCCTTCAAAGGTATGTTAAAAGAATTTTTGACTTATTCCAAAATGCAGTGGACAGCCATTGAAGGATTTTAAACAGGGGAGTGATCTGATCATTATTGGCCTTTTTGAAAAAAATTATTCTGGCTACCATGTTCACACTAGTTTAGAGGGAAGTAATATTGAAGGCATGAAATGGATTAAGGTGAAGGTTGTTGAAATGGAGAGATTTGATGTGGGTTTGAAAGCTATTTGTAGGGCTATGGAACAGGATTTTATGATTCATTGGATGCAAGGTCAGACTGGGGGATGTATGTTTAACATAGTTTAATTAAATAGAAGGAGAAGCAGAATTGTAGGATGGATAATGTTTTGGTCATGTTAGTTTGAAGAGATATTAAAGAGGTAAAGGAGATATGGGGGAGATAGCAGAACATCATGGGCCGTGGGGGCCATAGCTGCTTAGATTTTGAGGAACACCAAATCAGTCTCCATTTTCTTGTGCAGTATATCTCACTCAAGTGTAAACAGTTTGGCCTCGCAGGTTCCTCCTTTCCTGTGCTTCCTGGTCACTTGCTATTTTAGCTGGGAGTATCTGTCTGTCTTCCTTGCCTGAAATGTTAGATGTGTCAGATTATTGGTGCTCCTCTTCTTGCTCTGCTGCTGCTAGAGATAATTGGGAATGCTAGGATATATGTATCATTCAGCTTATGTTGTCCTATCCCCTATGTATAGTCTATCTGATTATTGATATTTTATTTCCTGGTAGACCTAAGAGGAGTTGAATTTCAAGTGGTGTTAACAGCTTTAAAAATTTTAAAAATAGGTATCTTATTTAAAAATGAAGATTATTGTATCTATGTCCCAAATATCATTAGAAACCTTTAAAGGTTTTTTCCTCATAACTTAGTAAACTAGTTCTTTGTTGTTGTTGTTGTTGTTGTTCTGTGTGTGTGTGTTTTACAAAGGAAAGTGTGTTCTACACACTGTCACAAACAATAGTTTTCTTACCCATTTTTGTTTACAAACTAATGTAACTATCTTCTGAGGATAGTATTAAAAAATGTATACACACTATAAAGGCAGTGTTTATTAAAATACATTTCATTTTCAAAATGAAATAGAATATACAGCTATTAGCTGCTGAAGTGTTTAGACATTTTTGGGAGAAACCTTATATAAGGCAATCCTAAAGAAAACCCTTTTACTTGGGAAGATCTTCTAAAAAGTCTTTAGCTAACTTGAATATAGTATACACATTTTTAAGGAAATAATGAAATGGATAATATATCAATACTTATTTTAAAATTTTATTTAAAATAATGTCTAAAATATTAGGACTATTTTAGGAATATTGAGAACACAGTGAGACTTTCTAGATTATAAATGGTGGCAATAGAAGGAGAATGCTACAAAAAATGCTGTTAAAAGAGAAAGTAGCTAAAATTTTCATTGCTTCTGTTTTCAAGGGGTTATAGAAATTTGAATATATTTATCCATTGCAGGGGATCTCATGAGGACTTACTATTTTCTAAAAGGGTATTAGCTAAAATTGATCCTTGAGTGTTATAATGAATGTTGGAGCCCACCCACCTGTTTGGTCAGAGAGGACGTGGCATTACCTATGCACAGTTAGCTTGTCGGGACAAACTAGCCAACATTAAACACCATGCTTTGTTAGCTTACGGAATAATCATTTTCTTTGTTGAAACATTTTATTTATTGGAATTTTTCTGTTAACTCCTTTATATTTAACATTTCATTGAGATCAAATGACCTTTTGTTTGCTTATGTTTATTCTAAGTTAAAGAATATTGTTTTCCGACTTTTTCCCTTTTTCTTTCTTTAAATCCAGAAAGAGAAGAGATCTTTTCTACAGAACTTGTGCCGGGAGATGTTATGGTCATTCCATTAAATGGGACTATCATGCCTTGTGATGCAGTACTTATTAATGGTACTTGCATTGTAAATGAAAGCATGTTAACAGGTAAACTAAATGAAATGAGGAAAATCAGATTAGTTGTTTATAATGAGAGTAGATTAAGTAGTTGCTGATGAATCTATTTCAAAATTAGCTATGCTGTTTATCTTTTCTTTATAAATGTTATGAATGTCATGGATATTGAAGTGTTTTTTTTGTTTTTGATTTTTATTCTGAGTGGACCAAATTCTGCATTATGCTTACCTGTGATACTAAATCACCATATTGGTCATCACTGCATTTCTTGGCATGTTCCTGTTTACTTTTTTAATATGAGGAAATGCTTTATAGTAAGGGAAGAAGAAAGAAGCCGTGGCTTATAGAGAATGCAGTATATTTGCTTCCTTATTTGATGTGTAAACAGTGGGACTAAACGCTATATTTTTTTTAAAGTGGGGAGAAATAGACTTCAAAATTATTATTATTATTTATTTATTTTTTTTTGAAATTCACTATCTGAAGATAGAACTTTATATCTTTTTATCAAATGAATTTTTTTAATTGTCATAGCTAGTCTGGCAAGGAAGTGATTCCTATATAATGTGTTCAAACTTAAGAATTTTTTCTTAAAACACTCACACATAAGTATCCCCACACACTTGTTGGCTTTGAAGCGGGAATTATGGATGCTACACAGAATTAAATTTCAGTGTTAAGAGAGAGATAGAGAGATTTTTTTTTTTTTTTTTTTTTTTTTAATATATATTTTATTGATTTTTTACAGAGAGGAAGGGAGAGAGATAGAGAGCCAGAAACGTCAATGAGAGAGAAACATCGACCAGCTGCCTCTTGCACATCCCCCACTGGGGATGTGCCCGCAACCCAGGCACATGCCCTTGACCGGAATCGAACCTGGGACCCTTCAGTCCACAGACCGACGCTCTACCACTGAGCCAAACCGACTTCGGCAAATTTCAGTGTTAAAAATAATTTTTTTGTTATTGTCTGAGGAACTACCATGCTACTTATTATTCTCTCCCTTCTAGGTGTGTTTGTATTTGTTTCTGGGGGTTAGGAATAGGTCTTCACATCTCTGTGTGCTGGAGGCTGCACCACAGTGCTTTCCAGTTCAGTTCTTAGGGATAAAAGAACAGGTGCTGGGGCTAAGGCAACTCTTACCTGATATCCTTTTTTGAAACTTGACACAATAACTTAAAAATGATTATCTTTGAATCACAGATCACTTTCAGGAATTATTATGAGAGACAAGATTTGATATATTGGCTAAGGAAATGGGTAAACAAAAAACTAATTTAATAAGTTATGTTATCCATTATGAGAACTCTATTTTAGTAGCTGTTATCTCAAGTTGTATGTGTTTGCCACTGATTTCTATGCTCTAATTTATGATTTTTGTTTTTAAGGAGAAAGTGTTCCAGTGACAAAGACGAATTTGCCAAATCCATCAGTGGACATAAAAGGAACGGGAGATGAATTATATAGTCCAGAAATACATAAACGACATACTTTGTTTTGTGGGACTACTGTTATTCAAACTCGTTTCTACACTGGAGAACTTGTCAAGGCCATAGTAGTTAGAACAGGTAAAAACATATCCCTTCTTGCATATTTGATACTTACTAAATGTTTAAAAAGATATTCTGTTTTGAATATTGTAATGACTAAGTATGATGCCACTTGGGGTACTGGAAATATCGAGATCACTATGTAAATTATATGATTGTTTAACCACTAAGCTGTACACCCGAAGCCAATACATCTATATATAAAAAAAGCCTAAGTGACTGTTTGGTAGCTGTGACGCACACTGACAACCAGGGGGCATATGCTCAAAAGCACAGTCATGGAAACTGAACAGACTGATGAAGCTCAGAGGGAAGGGAGTTGGTGGGAGGAGATTAACCAAAGATCTTTTATGCATACTACAGGCCTAGTGCACGGATTCATGCACCAGTGGGGTCCCTTGGCCTGGCCTGTGGAGATCAGGCTGAAACCAGCAGTCTGACATCCCTCAAGGGGTCCTGGATTGTGAGAGGGCGCAGGCCAGGCTGAGGGACCCCACTGGTGCATGAATCCGTGTACCAGATCTCTAGGAATGAATGAATGAATGTTCTTTTTGAAAAAGAATTCTAATTTCATTTTCTTCTTTAAATTTTTTAAAAGGATTTAGTACTTCCAAAGGACAACTTGTTCGTTCCATATTATATCCCAAACCAACAGATTTTAAACTCTACAGAGATGCCTACTTGTTTCTTCTGTGTCTTGTGGCGGTGGCTGCCATTGGGTTTATCTACACTATTATCAATAGCATTTTAAATGAGGTATGTACATGGAACTTTTAGTAGGGTTTGAGTTTTAATTATCACATATGACTACTAAGGATTTGAAAAGTGGCTAGTGAGGCTGAAGAACTAAAATTTTAATGTAATTTAACTTTTGAAAGCCATATGACACTAATAGCTACTATGTTTGGAAGTAGATACAGAACATTTCCATCATAGTAGGAAGTTCTTTTGAATGGCTTTGGTTTAGATGGTCTCACTTGCTCTTTTATTACTTAAATAAAGAGGAGTAACCACGTACCAAAAGCTTTATTTTCTCTTTTTTTTAACTTACAGGTTATATAGCATTAAAATTATTTGTTAATTTAAGATACAACTGAAGGATCTTGTCAAATTTCTCTTTTCTATTTCTGTAAAGACTGGTATAGTGCAGTGCTTATAGTAAGAGTCAGTATCTGACAAATGTTTGATGAACTTCAAAGTGTGTAGTGTGTGAAATATGTAGAGCTAAAACTATATTAAAGGAGAATTTTCTTTAAAAATAGCTGTCATTCCACAGTCCATTGACAATATATTGAACTTTATATTTTTAGAATTTCTAAGGGAAAACATTATAAAGGGATAATAGAAGTGTTTATATATACATACTTGTTATATATAAAATTGAAAATGGTTTCTGGGTTTTTCACTAAAAACCTTACTAGATGAGAAAATATTGGGGGAGGGGTCTAACACTTACTTTTCTGTGAATTATAGGTGGAGATTGGGGTAATAATTATTGAGTCTCTTGATATCATTACAATCACTGTGCCACCTGCACTTCCTGCTGCAATGACTGCTGGCATTGTGTATGCTCAAAGAAGATTGAAAAAAATTGGTATTTTCTGCATCAGTCCCCAAAGGATAAATATATGTGGACAGCTGAATCTTGTTTGCTTTGACAAGGTTGGTTCAGTTTCGTAATCATTCTCATGTATGTGTGCTGATGGGGAATGGAATCTGCAACTTTGACATATTGGGATGATACTTTAAACAACTGAGCTACCAGCCAGTTGGCCAAGACCTCATAATCATTATCAAAGGTTATTCTGTAAATTTTAAATACTTAGATTAATGTTTTCTATATTCTTTATCAACCAATTTGCACACATTTTAAAATGGTCCTCCTTTTCAACTTACTTGGCATATGTACCATTTTTGTATATTTCTCATTTTTAATATTTTGGATATTGCTTACTTGCCCAATTCATTCATATCCAAAATTATGTCTTGTAGTAGTAATAGTTGTAATAGTAGTAGTAAAGACTTTCTAATCTTTTGTGTTTTTAACAGAATATACTCCATACAGATATATTTACTGGAATTTTATTGCTATTAAGTATATATGTTTAGTGTTTGCTTTATGATTTATTTATTTATTTATTTTTTAAAATATATTTTATTGATTTTATACAGAGAGGAAGGGAGAGAGACAGAGAGTTAGAAACATCAATGAGAGAGAGTCATTGACCAGGTGCCTCCTGCACACCCCCTACTGGGGATGTGCCCGCAACCAAGGTACATGCCCTTGACCGGAATCGAACCTGGGACCCTTTAGTCCCCAAGCCGACGCTCTATCCATTGAGCCAAACCGGTCCTGGCTGCTTTATGATTTATTGAATATATTTAAAAATAATGAAGGTCACTGATTTTTCTATTTTGTGAAAATAAAAAATTTTGTACCTATGTGAAATATACCTCATCTCTTACAAAGGGTTTTCCTTTTCTCAACTGAAATTAGTTTGCCTAACAGTTTTATTTTGACAATTAAACTTGGGTAACTGATATGATAGGAATTTGATTTCTGTGCATCTTCATTATTAAAGAAAATGGGAGACAAAATATTTTTGCATTTTGCTTTCATTTTACTTTTCGTTAAATTTATTGGGGTGACATTGGTTAATATATACAATTCTATAATACATCATCTGTATATTGCATCATGTGCTCACCACCCAAAGGAGACAAAATATTTTTTAACAAATATTGAGTTAAAAAAAGAGATCAGATTCCAAGACTAAATTTCATAATTATCTGTTTAGAAAATTTCAGTTACGCTTTTCTTCTTTGGAAAACATTACCAGTAAAATTTTTAAGCAGAAGCAGACATAAAAGAGGAGAAAAGATCAAGTGTAATAAACCCTCACATACCCAATACCCAGCTTTGACAGTTATTAGCATTTTGTTTAGATGGTCTCATTTTGAAAGTGGCAGCATAAGACATTATTTCACCCATATGCCTCAGTATGTATCTCTAGTTGTTTTATAAAAAATTACAGTACCGTTATAACTGTCTACACTTTACAAAATTAGCAATTCCTTAGTATTATCTAATATCCAGTTCATATTCACATTTCCCTACTTTTCTAAAAAAAAGAAGAAAAAAAACTAAAATTTTACAGTTTGTTTTTAAGTCAGAATCCAAATTATTGCATTTAGCTATAATTAATCTGTAACAGTTGCTTTTCTTCCCAGTCATCTGGTTGAAACCAGGTCATTTATATCCTGGATTTGGTTAATTGCTTCCCCTGATGTGATTTACCTTGTTCCCTTCCTTTTTATGCTTTACTCTTGTTCTCCTATGTAGGCATCCTTTATTGATTTATAGGTTAATTGGTGCATTGTCCCACTATTTTTTTTTTTTTAATAAAATAAGTCTATAAGTATACACATGTATGCATATGTCTTCTTATAAATAAAGGATCCATACCAAGGATCTGCACCCTTTTCTCCACTTTACTATTTGTCCTGGAAATTATTCTCTTTCACTATATGGAACTTTTACTGTTTCATTCATTTGTATACAGCCGTTTATAGTTCTCCATGGAGTATATGTAGCAGAACTTATCACGATTTTTGTTTTTGGAGGCATTATTCATACTTTGTATGTGTACTTTTTTTAGACTGGAACTCTTACTGAAGATGGTTTAGATCTTTGGGGGATTCAACGAGTGGAAAATACACGGTAAATATTAGCTACTAATACACTTGATTATTTATTATTTAATTTTAATAAATATTTTTAAAATATGAAACATTCAAACATAAAGAAAATAAGTAATGTCACAGACAGCTTGTATACCTACCATGAAGTTAAACAGTTGACATTTTGTAGTTTTTGCTTCAGATTTTTTAAAAAGATTTAAAATATTGCAGATATTGCTAAAGCTTAATCTACTCCTTTCCTAACTGCTATCATCATTCTGAAGCTGTGTTCTATTATTACCTTTGCACATTTTTATATTTTCACTATATATGTACCCGTCTATTTATAAGATATACTAGAGGCCTGGTGCACGAAATTCGTTCACGGGGGTCCTCAGCCCAACCTGCACCCTCTACAATCTAGGAGCTCTCAGGGGATGTCCTTCTGATGGCTTAGACCCACTTCCTGTGGTTCTCTGCTCTCTGCGGGCCTGGAGGTTTTGCTGCAGCCATGGATATGAAGCCCCCATTCCCTGTTCTCCGTGCTCTGCCTGCCTTGCCATGCGCCATGTGAAGGAAGCCCCACTGCCCTGCAGTGTGCTCTGTCTGCCAGGCCTGGGGGCTTTGCCAACACCAACACACTAAGGAAGCCTCCATGCCCTGCTGTCTGGACTCTGTGGGGCCTGGGGCTTCCCCGCTGCCGCCGCAGTAGGGAAGCCCCCATGCCCTGCTATCTGGGCTCTGTTTTCGGAGCCTGGGGCTACCCTGTTGCCGTCGCTGCGCTAACTGCTGTCCAGGCTCTAACTGCCCTGTCTGGGGCAGATCAGAAATCCCTCTGGAGTCGGATCCAGCCTTGCTGCTCCTGTGGACAGGCTGGACACTCCAGCAGCGGAGCTGAGGGGACTGGGCACCGCCAACTTGTGGCTATGGGGGCCGCCATTTTTGTCACGAAGTGATGGTTAATTTGCATATTACTCTATTATTAGATAGGATGTATACATAAAAAAATGTACACAATTGACACCCTTGTACATGTTTTTGCTGCTGTTTTGTTGCTTAACTTTGTTTTGAAGATTTCTCAATGTTGATATGAATAGATCTAATTTATTAATCTTAGCTGTTTTTTTAGTATTCCATTATATGATTAAATCATAATAATTTCTTCTAAAGCAGTGTTTCCCAAATTTTTGACATATGTGTACCCCTTCTATAATTTTTGCAATGCTGAGTACTCCTCGTACTCATGAGAATGTAGAATTAGGCGCAGCTAAGCCCGGTGCAGTGCATATTCCCACCAAATTCCAGTGCAATGCATACCCCATCAAACTCCTCCCGTATCCCTGAGGGTACACGTACCACACTTTGGGAAACACTGCTCTAACAGATAGTTTCATTTTTCCCCCTCCCTTTTACCTTCCATTTTCACAAACAATCATGCAATGAACATTCTTATACACAACACTTAGAGAGCACGTAGTTGAGTTTTAGTACACTTTCTTCCTAAAAAGGTCAGTGCTGGGTTATGGATATAGCACAGACAGTGCTGCAGCCTTAGTAGGTATTGCCTAATTGCTCTCTAAGTGATGGTGGTGCTAACTCACTCTCCCTCAATGGGTAAAGAGATCTTGTTGCTCCACATCCTTGTCAAACTTGATCTGTCAGACTGCTAATTTTTGCCAAATGGATAGATATGAAATTACATTTTATTGTTGCTTTTCTTATAGTTTCTTTATTACTTAAAAAGCTGAGCATATTTTCACATCCTTCTGTGTATTGCCAGTTTATAACTTAATTTTTCTTTTGTGTTGTTAATCTATATCTTATTCATGTTGTTTGAAGTCCTTTGTATTTTCTGGATAGTAATTTTTTTTTAGTACTATGCATTGCAGAAATATTACACCATTCTATCATTATTTTACTTTGTTTTACTGTTTTTTTGATGCTAAGAAGTTTTACTGTTACAATTGTTTTTATGTTATTTTTTTTCCTTCAAAAGTCTGTGATAGTTTGACTATTGTTTGGTTCATGTAATTTCAGAGTTGTTAAATCTTCTTGGTAAATAAGTTGTCTTCACTTTGGGAACTTATTTATCCCCAATAATGCATCTTGCCTTAAATTTTATTTCTTATAATGTTTTTATATAGTTACACATCAGTTTTCTTTTGCTTAATTTTGCTTTGCGTATCTTTACTTCTCAATCTTTTTACCCCCCTACATCTTTACTTCTCAATCTTTCTGTGCCATTATGTTCATAACAAACAAAGTTGTGTTCCCAGCACTTTAAAAAAATTATTTTTAAAATATACTTTACTGATCTTTTACAGAGAGGAAGAGAGAGGAATAGAGAGTTAGAAACATCGATCAGCTGCCTCCTGTACCACCTCCCCAACTCCCCAACTAGGGATGTGCCTGCAACCAAGGTACATGCCCTTGACTGGAATCAAACCTGGGACCTTTCAGTCCGCAGGCGACCTCTCTATCCACTGAGCCAAACCTGTTTCGGCTCCCAGTACTTTATTTCATTTCTCCTGACACCTTTTGTTATTGATGTTGAAAAGTCTTACCAGGTCTCTTTAATAATATTTTTTTCTCTTTTGTTTTATGTTTGATTTCTGTAGTTTCACTATCATCTTTATTTGTTTTATGTTTGATTTTTGTAGTTTCACTATCATCTTTTTATTTGTGCAGGCCTCATTTTGCTTCTTGATGCTAAGGACTTAAGGTTTTTCATAAATTATGGAAGTTTGTCTTTCTGTTCCATTATGGCCTTTCCCACATTCTTATTTTCTCTTCACATGGAAATTCTAACCATATGTTGGACAAAAAATGTCATTTGGTTCTTTCCATATCTGCTTCTCCTCTTATCCTCACATGGTGTCTTGTTTTTTTTCCAAGTCTTTAATTTAAAATGCCTTTTTTGCATTTTTTTAGATTGCCGTTCTATTATCTGAAATTTGTGGGATTCTAATTTTGTCTTTTTTTGTGTCTGTTGACTACTGAGAATTATTTCTTTTAAATTATGAATTCAATTTTAGCAGGATTTTTCTATGAGAGTCTTTCCTTTGTGTCTGTGTTGTGGAAACTTTTTCTAGAGAGCTTTGACCATTCATGGCCAAGAGCATGGCTAAGAGTGGTATCAGTGGTACCAGACAAACTTTAATGTTATTTTCATAACTTCGGAAATTTTCGGACCAGGCAGTGACATATATTCAAATTCAAATCGCATCGTGAGTAGTGCAGTGGTTCAGAGTTTAGGCCCTGAAACCTGTGGTTGAATTCTTGTTATCACCTAAATGCTGGGTAACCTTGGCAAGTTACTTAAGCATTCTGCTTCAGTTTTTTCATCTCTAAAATGGGGATAATAAAGCATCTCATGGTATGAAGATGAGATGAGTCAAAGTATATTCAAAGTTTTTAGAACAGTGCCTACTGTAGAGTAAATGTATAGATATTAGGTATGTCTTGAACTTAAGGCAGGGGTTAGTAGGTAGGGAGAGATAAGCTTATTCTTAGTTATGCCGTTGGGTCTGTGGGTAAATTTTTTTCTAGCATACTGTTTTCCAGGGATGTAGCTGATGAAGAGTGCTGACTATCTTAGTTTCAAGTCCTTACTTTGTCTCCTGTTCCTGTGTGTGTATTAAAGCTGAAGTTGTTAGATGGCTTCCTAAGAGGGCTTCCCTCCCTTCTTCCTTCTTTTCCAGGTAGTCACAGCATCTGCTCAAGTTCATACCCCTCCTGTTTTCCTTCCCTCCTATTTCTGGCACTTAAATTTTTCCTTTCTTTTTTTAGTGAGCTCAGTTTTGCATTTAAAGGATTATGTTTTACACATTCATTTCATGTTTTTTTAAGAGAGTTTTTATGTATTCTAATCTGCCATATGTCCATAGGCAGGAATTTTAATTATCATTTAGTATCTAGTGTTTTCTAAAGTGTTAAGTCTGGCCTAGTTATTTAGAATGTAAGGTAATACCGTATTTCAGTTATGTATAATTTCATGGAAGGAAATGTTTTTGAATTCCCAAACTGTAGTTAAAAATATGCAGAAATGCAAACATTTTATTTCCATTTTAAAAATGACAAAACCTGAATATTGTTAGAATATTATCTCGAGTCTTGGAATTTATAAATCTAATTCAGTATATTATCTATTTAGTTTTCTTTTGCCAGAAGAAAATGTTTGCAATGAGATGTTGGTAAAGTCTCAGTTTGTTGCTTGTATGGCTACTTGCCATTCACTCACAAAAATTGAAGGAGTGCTTTCTGGTGATCCACTTGATTTGAAAATGTTTGAAGCCATCGGATGGGTAAGTTTAATATTTTAAAGCACAAGTAACTTCAGAAAAATAGAGTAAAATTACTTTGTAGAAGGATTGTTTCTGCAGGTTGTTTTGATGATAGCCTGTCTTGTACCATGAAAGAAAAGATGTAATTTCTAAAGGTGTATCACAGGAGAGAGATCATTGTAATAAAAAAAAAAAAAAAAAGTCTCTTTTAGTTATATTGACTCATTTAAACACCTTTAATAGAGACGACCTGCTCAGATCCCTTCTTTATGTGTTTAATGGATATCTGCTATCAGTAACTTGGGGCAGTAAGTCTGGGTCAGTGAGATGATCTTCAGCATCACAGTTTGTTGGTTAGATAAAAAGGATGAGTAAGTGATGTGTTTTTGGTGTTCTTTTTATCCATGTTCTCTTTTCTGTGTCCTTACTACACACGAAGGTTTGTGTTTGTTCCTTCTAAATGTTTTGCTATTGATAATTTAATTTTTTTTAAAAAATAGGTTCTTATTGATTTTAGAGGGGAAGGGAGAGGGAGAGAGAAACATTGATAGGCTGTTTCTGGCATGCCCCCTGCTGGTGATTGAGCCTACAGTCTGGGCATGTGCCCTGACTGAGAATTAAACAGGAAACCTCTTGATGCATGGGATGATGCTCAACCATATGCCACACCAGCCAGGGCAGCCATTGATAATTTGATTTCTATGTGTTTGCTTATGTTCTTTGGTTGTTAACCATTTCAAAGCATTCAGTTCTTTTATAGATGCAATAATAGTTTTGATTTTAAAGTTTCCTTCTACTCTGGATAATTTATTTTCTGTGAGTCAGTATTGTTTTTGGTTTTTCTTCCCTACCCTTATTCTTTTTTCATGCTTTCAGTTTGCATTATACATGTTGATAGTAGTTGCATATCCTATATAATAAATAGGTAATATGCAAATTGACCATGACACAAATGGCCGCCCCCATGTAGACACAATATGGCCACCACAAGATGGCCTGCAGCAGAGGGCAATTGTGGGTAGTTAGGGGTGACCAGGCCAGCAGAGGAGGGCAGTTGTGAGCAATCAGGCCGGCAGGGAAGGCAGCTAAGGGTAACCGGGCCAGCAGAGGAGGGCAGTTGTGGGGGGACCTAGGCCTGCAGGGGAGGCATTGAGTGCTGCCATCTTTGCAACGGTATGAGGGTCAATTAGCATACTCCCTCTTTATTAGATAGGATGAAGTCAGCAGATTTAATTTTGTAAAGCAATATGTTGAATGTTTTCCTTTAAGATTCTGGAAGAAGCAACTGAAGAGGAAACAGCACTTCATAATCGAATTATGCCAACTGTGGTTCGTCCTCCAAAACAACTACTTCCTGAATCTACACCTGCAGGAGACCAGGAAATGGTGCGAAACCACTTTAAGTTGGATTACACTGTTGATGCCCACATTCATTCCTGACTTAGAAATATAAGCAGAAGATGAAATCACATCCTTTAACTCTTATACAGATAAGAATATTTTAACTGTTTATTGGAAATTATTGTTGGGATATTGTGGGTATTATTTGTAAAACACTGAGATATATTTCTCAGTACCATTTCTTTTCCTTCCTATTTACTGAATAGCTTAGTGCCCTGTGATTGAGATAATATGATGATATGGTGAATAATTCCTTAAAATGCAACTGTTTTCTTAGAATTTAATAAAAGAATATGTGAGAAGTGAATTTTTAAATTTGTCCCCTCAGTTTATTTTTGTATTTAATATGTTAATATTTTTAGGACAGAATATTTGAAAGTATTCAGTAATATGCTTTTTAAATATGGGGTTAGGGTAGAAGCAATCTTGAAACATAACTTTGAAATAATCCAAGTTTTTTGCTGTTTTGGGGATACATACCGTAGTTTTTTATCCTAAGGACTTAATCTGTACTATTTATGTTTTTGTTTGTTTTGTTTTTAGGAGCTGTTTGAACTTCCAGTGAGTAAAGAATATTTACTTTATACCTAAGTATATTTGTTTTAATAAGAATTAAAACATTCTTTAAGAAAAGAATAATAAATACTTGATGCATCTTTTGAAATTATACAGGCTATTTATGAGATAGGAATTGTTCGCCAGTTTCCATTTTCTTCTGCTTTGCAACGTATGAGTGTGGTTGCAAGGGTGCTTGGGGATAAAAAAATGGATGCCTACATGAAAGGAGCACCTGAGGTCATTGCCAGTCTTTGTAAACCTGAAACAAGTAAGGAACCAACTTTATTTGAATAAAATTCTGATATTTATATAGGCTTGTATTAGCAATTTTAACAATGATACGTATTTTTTCCTTTTAAAGTTCCTCTTGATTTTGAAAATGTTTTAGAAGATTACACTAAACAGGGCTTCCGTGTAATTGCTCTTGCACACAGAAAATTGGAGTCAAAACTGACATGGCATAAAGTACAGAACATTAGCAGGTAAGATTGTTTAACAATTTTTCTACAGTTTTTCCAATAATGCATTATTTATGTTTATATGTCACATATAATTGTATGTAGTTATGTGTTTATTAAGTATTTATTAAATGTATGCAAATATACATAATATAATGGTTTTCTTTTTTAGTTGATTGATACAGCTTTTTGGAACTATTTTCAATTTATTTGTTAAATATTTATTGAGTTCCTGCTACACGTCAGGCATATTCTAGGAATATAATCATGTTTTAGTAAACCTAATTCTACAGAAGTTAATTTTTCCCAAATGATGTTTCCTTTTTCCTAGAGGTTGGAACCAAGTACTTATTTAGTCAGTATCATGAGTCACAATAAACAGTTACCATCTACCCCAAAGTTCAAATGGTATTACCAACATCACATTTATGTCTGGTATAGATATGGATTTTACCTTCAAGGATTGTCTCTTTAACTGAAACTGATATAGACCTTCCCTTTAAGGATAACATTTGTAAGCAAGCAGAAACGTATATCCATTAGCTGTCCTGATAATTTTGCCTGTGAAATAGCTTTTTCTTCCTCCATTCCCACAGCCATTATCTCTAATTCAAGGATTCAGCTCTTTTTCCTAATCTTTCTTTTCTGCGGTCTGTGTTCCACACTGCCTTCAGAGGAAGTTTTTTAACATTCAGATCTAATATCAGAATCCTGCCTGGAATTCTTATAAATGGCCAGTTTGAGGAGTTCACAATCAGAGATATACATCAGGAAGGAAAACAAAACACATAATCTTTTTTTTTTGTTTTTTGTTTTTAAATATATTTTATTGATTTTTACAGAGAGGAAGGGAGAGAGATAGAGAGCTAGAAACGTCGATGAGAGAGAAACATCAACCAGCTGCCTCTTGCACACCCCCACCGGGGATGTGCCCGCAACCAACACACATGCCGCTGACCGGAATCGAACCTGGGACCTTTCAGTCCGCAGACGGACGCTCTACCACTGAGCCAAACCGGTTTCGGCAAAAACACATAATCTTTTAAATTGGCAAATGATACAAACAGATAAATATCAGAAAAAAAAAAAACCATACAAATGCCCAGTGAACACATGAAAATGATAGGACACTTCAGTTCTTGGGGAACTACAAAATAAAACCATACTATGACATCACTTTTCTTCTAAGATTGACAAAATTGGAAAGATTGATAATAACTAGTGTTAGTGAAGGTTTGAGAAAATTTTAACAACACTAGAGGCTTAGTTCACAGATTCATGCATGGGGGTGGGAGGGAGCTCCTCAGCCTGGGTTTTGCCCTCTTGCAATCCAGGACCCCTCAGGGGATGTAGCAGTGTGCCAGTGGCAGGAAGCCAGGGAGAAGCCTGGTTTCTGGCTGAGCAGTGCTCCTGTGGGAGTGCACTGATCATCAGGTGGTAGCTCCTTCATTGAGCGTCTGCCCTCTGGTGGCCAGTACACATCATAGCGACTGGTCAACTATTAATTCCCATCATTCGGTCATAAAGGGTGCTTAGGCTTTTAAATATCATATACACTGAGTGGCCAGATTATTATGATCACACCATCAGTACTTCGTTAGGCCACCTTTTGCCTTCAATACTGTTGCGGTTCTTCTTGGCACTGAGTCCACAAGATGTTGAAAGGTGATGCGGTAATCTGACACCATGGCTGATGAATAGCAATGTCCAGTTCTGTGAGATTTGATGGTTGTGGAACCAGTATAGGGCAATAGTTAAATTATGGACTATTAGAATGCCTAATTATTTCAGGCACATTAAGTAAAAAGTGTTGGTAGTACAATTGTGTTTTCTGAGAGACAACTAAAGAAGTAGAGTGAATAGCCAAATTAACTAAAAGGAAAAACTACATTATGAATTCTAACTACAAAATTCTATTTTTTCTTTCCAACATCCTGTTCTGTGGCTTCATTGGCTCTTTTTGCCTGGATGCCAAAGAGCTGGGAATTGGCACAGGCCATGCGAAGACTGGCAAAAGCCTTGAAGTTCTTTTGAGAGATGTGGTCTAAGCATGAATGTTTAAAAAAAATGTGGCTTTCTGCTGGCTGGTCTCCTTCCAAGAAGGCCTCTGTAGCTGTGGTGCCCAGCCGAAATGACATGATCCGAAAGCCCCACTTCCACAAGGACTGGCAGCGGCAGTTGCCATGTGGTTTAACCTGTGTTCAGACCCATCCCACCCATAGTGAGATGCCCCACTGTTTGGTACCCATACCAAAGTGTGAACTGAGCTGGCAGGGCCTTCAGCTTGGAAGAGTTAAGGGTGGCTGGCATCCACAAAAAGGTGGCCTGGACCATTGGGATCTCAGTGGTTCTGAGGCGGCGGAACAAGTCATCGAGTACCTGCAGGCCAGCATGCAGAGACTGACGGAGTACCACTCCAAGCTCACACTCTTCCCCAGGAAGGGAGACAGTCTGTGAAGAACTCAAATTGGCTACCCCGCTGACCGGACCAGTCATGCCCATACGGAATGTCTACAAGAAGGAGAAAGCCAGGGTCATCACAGAGGGAGGAGAAGAACTTCAAGGCTTTTGCCAGTCTTCGCATGGCCCATGCCAATTCCCAGCTCTTGGGCATCCAGGCAAAAATGAAGCCACAGAACAGGATGTTGGAGAGAAAAAATAAAGTGCTATTGGCAACTGGTGATAAAAAAAAAAAAAAAAGTGATAACCAAATTATATAATGCATATACATGATTGGGATCCAAAATGTAAAATATTATATATATAGATTCCTGTGAAGGGCATATTAGGCTCTTTCTCTCTACACCTTTACCTTTTGCCAGTTCCCTCCTAAGGACTAACTGTTCTTGAGCCTGTTCTATTCAAACATCCTTCCATGCCCTTGGATGGGCTATTCCTTCTGCCCAGAATACCCTATTCCTCTCTATCAACTTCTCTTACCCCCTCCCTCCTCCCGCTTCCCTTCATTCTCATCCTTCAGCCTTCTCTGTGTGTCCATTCTGCCTTCTAGGAATAGATGTTGGCATTTCTCTAACAGATTGAATCTTTATATCTTGAATTAAATATTGTAGTATTGATCAATTAGAGGCCAAAATTTCTATGACCTGTATCATAGGAAAGTTAGGAACAATTTGAAGCCAGAAATGACTTGTATCTTGTGGGAAAATGGCTGCAGTGTTCTTTTTTTTTTTTTTTTTTTTTTTTTTTTTAATATATATTTTATTGATTTTGTACAGAGAGGAAGGGAGAGAGATAGAGAGTTAGAAACATTGATGAGAATCTTCGATCAGCTGCCTCTTGCACACCTCCTACTGGGGATGTGCCCGCAACCAAGGTACATGCCCTTGACCGGAATCGAACTCGGGACCCTTCAGTCCCCAAGCCGACGCTCTATCCATTGAGCCAAACCGGTTTCGGCCTTGATCCAGTAGTTTCACATTTGTAGAGCTTTGTGTTTTGAAAAGCATTTTCAGGTTTCAAGGTTTGTTTCTCCTATTATTACCAGCAATATCATTTGTAGTAACTTTTCTAACTATTCTTTAATACCTTTAACACTCTTTGTTCTAAATTATGATTCAAAGATATTTAGGTTTATAGCTATGGAAAGGGCCTATAATTGTTGAATTTTGTGTAGAAAAACCATTTGGTTATTGCAAATGTGAAATTTTGGTCCCTAACCTCAAGCCCCCTTTCTCTATTAAAGAAAAAGATTTCCCTGATTTAGCTTGAGATTATTAAAATATATATATTTTATTGATTCTTCACAGAGAGGAAGGGAGAGAGATAGAGAGTTAGAAATATCGATGAGAGAAATCGCGATCAGCTGACTCCTGCACACCCCTACTGGGGATGTGCCTGCAACCAAGGTACATGCTCTTGACTGAAATCGGACCTGGGACCCTTGAGTCCACAGGCCGACGCTCTATCCAATGAGCCAAATCGGCTAGGGCCAGCTTGAGATTTCTTAAACACAACTATCACTGAACAGACTTCATGTGCATTATAGTGCTGAAGTGCATATTATTTTTGTTTTGCATACATCTCTTTGCTTACATGTCTGTTTCCCCACAAAAGTATATTGAAGAGTATATATCTTGACATCCCAACAAATTTCTGTAGTACTTGGTGCATTATAGATAACTGTTTGAAGAAATAGCATCTTTAACTTTTGAATATGAATATTCTAAAAGACTTATCTCTGGATTCCAAGTAGATCTCATTGTTGGATTGCTAATGCTTCTTACATCCATGTCAAGGATCAAGATTTTGACAAGAGTTTTATAAAAATTCATACAAAACTTTATAATGAATGTACTATAATCGTATCAAATGTGCTTATGGGACAGTTTTTCCCCCTTTCTTTTAACAGTTAAGTTAGGGTATGTTGTATGTGTAAAAAAATAGGTTTATTTATGCTTGCTCATTTGGTGAGTAGGATACAAGATGAATATTCCTTAGCACTATGCATTGGTAGTGTCTTATAAAGGAATACTGGGTGAGGATTGGTTCTAGGGCCCCCCTGGGGATATGGAGAGCCAACTAACTGTACATTTCCTAATGGTCCTTATACTCCTGCATTTCAAAAGGTAAAATTTAATTTCAGTATATTTCTTGGGAATTGTTTTTCCAGGTTTAATTTTTTTTAAGATACTGAATTCATAAACATACTCATATGTGCTTTGTTCTGCCTATAAAATGTCTTAATTTATCATTTTTGATATTTTAAATTGCTTTATCAATATAAAGAAAATAGCCTGTTCACTTGACTATACGTGTTAAAATTTCTTTTTCTGCAGAGATGCCATTGAAAACAACATGGATTTTATGGGATTAATTATAATGCAGAACAAATTAAAGCGAGAAACCCCTGCAGTACTTGAAGATTTGCATAAAGCCAATATTCGCACTGTCATGGTCACAGGTTAGACTTTATAAAATTACACAGAAAAAATTGAGTGTGATCTTAGAGTTCAAGATATATTATCTAACTAAAAAAAGAGAAAAATGCTAATTGACTGTACCTTTGCTACATCCACAGCCAATTAGAACGAGTATGCAAATTAACCCAACAAAGATGGTGATTAATTTGCATACACTGAGGGAGGGAGGAGTGAAGACTAAAGACAGCTTAGAAGGAAGAGGGAGGAAAAGCAGAAAGCCAGAGGGGTGAAGCAGGGTGGGGGTAGGGGGGCATCGGCCACATGCGGTTACTTGCAGGAATCTTCCTGCAAACGGGCTCCTAGTATTGACATATTATAGATGACCAGTTGGTTATAAAGCATATTATATTGTGTCTCCATTTTGCATTGCCCTATTTCAGCTCTGAATATTTTTAAGCTGTAAGTTAACTTGGTAATATTCATTTGAAGTCTAATAAATTCTGTTGATAGAAAGTATAGTAGGATAATAAAGGGCACACTAAAATTTTTAAACTCTGCTCCTTTTTATCTCTCTGTAATAATATATTTCTTATAGCACTTATTGTGCCTTGCTTTGTGTTAGATATTTGTACATTTCTTTGCTTTACTAGAATATGAGATTTTTTTACGGTTAAGAATATCTTTTAGTTATTTTGGAATTTTCTACAATTTTCAGAACTATGCCACGTGCATGGAAAATTGTTAATAGATACTGTTAGAATTATATTTTATTATTATTATTTTTAAATATATTTTATTGATTTTGTACAGAGAGGAAAGGAGAGAGATAGAAAGCTAGAAACATCGATGAGAGAGAGTCATCAATCAGCTGCCTCTTGCACACCCCCTACTGGGGATATGCCCTTGACCGGAATCGAACCCGGGTCCCTTCAGTCCCCAAGCCGACGCTCTACCATTGAGCCAAACCAGTCTCGGCTGTTAGAATTATATTTTTAAAAATATATATTTTTATTTATTTCAGAGCAAAAGGGAGAAGGAGAGAGGGATAGAAGCATCAGTGATGAGAGAGAATCATTGATCATTTGCCTCCTGCATACCCCCCACTGGAGATCAAGCTCGCAACCCAGAATGAGCTTGCAATCCAGCATGTACCTTCACTGGGAAATCTAACCGTGATCTCCTGGTTCATAGGTTGATGGCTCAACCATTGAGCCACACTAGAATTATATTTTATATATAAGATAGTACATTTATTATAATCACTTGAAACAGTGTAAGAATGAAAATAGCCTTTTTTAAAAAATATATATTTTATTGATTTTTCACAGAGTGGAAGAGAGAGGGGTAGAGAGTTAGAAACATCGACGAGAGAGAGAATCATCGATCAGCTGCCTCTTGCACACCCCCTCCGGGGATGTGCCTGCAACCAAGGTACATGCCCTTGCCTGGAATCGAACCCGGGACCCTTCAGTCGGCAGGCCGACGCTCTATCCACTGAGCCAAATCGGTCCTGGCAGCCTTTTTTTTTTTTGAGAGAGAAACTATTCTCTTTGAAGCTGTCTTTTTATTTTTTTTATTTTTTTATTTTTTATTTTTTTTAACTACTTTAGCTGGATGATTCTCCTGGTGTTATAGTACTTTTGACAATAGATAAATGCCATTCTTTACCTGTGTGAAATTGTGGTAGCTCTTAGTAAGTATTTTTTGTTAGTAAGTAATCAAAATTAAGGTACTCATTTTATGGCATTTATGTGTTCATTAAGACTTATATGGTAAGCCCTGAGCACATTTTTTATGATTTAGACTCAGATTCTCTGATAGTATACAACCGAAGTAACTAACTTTATTATCTTTTTAGCAATTCTTGGTTTTAATAACTGCTTCAAGACATTTTCCATCTCTGTATCTCTTTCCTCTTTTTCTCTACAATGACTGACTATGTCTTTGTTGTCCTAAGGGGTCTGTAATATTGCTCTTCAGTTCTGATAGCAGTGGGCTCCCAAGACCTTTGTCAGCTTCTCCTGTAAGCCAGTATTTTCTCTTGAACCTATCCTTTACAGTGCTGTGCTTCTTTTTTTTTTTTTCTCATGGCTGAGAAGTTGTCTGTCTTGCTTCTCTTTACATCTTGTAAAGATTATATTCTTACTAACTTGCTTATCTTTTAGTTTTGTGTAATCTTGCTTTTGTAATTCACTCTTTCCTGTGATACTATTCTAGTATTCTTAAACAGATCACTGGTCACTCCTAGGTTGCTTCAAAAAATATTTATTGAGCTCCTGCTCTGTATGTAGCACCGTGGCAGGTGCTACTAGTGACTGACTCAAAGGTTGAGAATGGCCCTGTGGCTTGGTGCTCAGTTGGTTGAAATGTTGTCCCGTGCACCAAAAGGTTGTAGGCTTGATTCCAGTTAGGGCATATAGTACCTAGATTGCAGGTTCTATCCTCCTTCAGGCCAAATACAATAGGCACCAATTGATGTTTCTCTCTCATATCGATGTTTCTCTCTCTCTCCTTTCCTTCTCCCCTCCTTCTCAAAACAATAAAAACATATCCTCAGGTGAGGATTAAAATAAAGATTTAGAATGTATTTGGTTTTAAAAATTATGGGTGAGAATGTTCTGACTGTGCTTGCATTATTTAAAGCTTCCTTTGATAAGTATGTCCTGCTTTTATTATTTTTAAACTCTAAGAGTAAAGACCATACATTATCTTCATTTTGCCCAGTCCAGTGATAGGAACTATAGTAGATTTTCAATAAGCACTTGTTGCTTAATCCATTTATGTTTTAATTTTAATGTGATTTTTAATATTTTGAAAATTAGGTGACAACATGTTGACTGCTGTCTCTGTGGCCAGAGACTGTGGAATGATACTACCTCAGGATAAAGTTATTATTGCTGAAGCATTACCTCCAAAGGATGGAAAAGTTGCCAAAATAAACTGGCATTATGCAGACAGTCTAACACAGTGCAGTAATTCATCAGCAATTGACTCGGAGGTAATGTCAAAATGAACTACTCTCTTTGAAGCTGTCGTGTTTTAATTTAGTCTAAAAACTAAAATGTGCATTAAAATTGAACAAAACAAAAAGTAAACAGAAAACCGAAACCTGGGCTTCTGATTCATTAGACCAAGGAATCTCAATACTTTAAATTTTGATAGTTACACAAACTTGAAAAGCACACTTTTATTAAAGTATAAGAATCTCAAAGGTTTATTCTATTTTAAATAGTGATAAATGGTGCAGGTGGACCAGATATTAAGTTCATGGATTGTTTCAAATTGAAGCTGATAATTTAGCCTTCCTATGTTTTTGTGTGTGTGTGTGTGTGTGTGTGTGTGTTTTTTGTTGTTTTTTTTTAAAAAAACATATAGATAGGTTCATCCTCTTAAAATTGACTTTCCCTTTATTTTCTTTCTTTTTAAAAAAAATATATATTTTATTGATTTTTTTACAGAGAGGAAGGGAAAGGGATAGAGAGTCAGAAACATGGACGAGAGAGAAACATCGATCAGCTGCCTCTGGCACACCTCCTACTGGGGATCTGCCTGCAACCAAGGTACATCTTCTTGACCGGAATTGAACCTGGGACCTTTCAGTCCACAAGCCAATGATCTATCCACTTAGCCAGACTGGTTAGGGCTCCCTTTGTTTTCAATAAATGTTAAACTTTCAATGTCTTATGTAAAATATCAAATAACAAAATTTAGTTTTTGATCAGATTATTTAAAATAAGTAATGTTATGTGGTTTGGCTTTCTAAATATTATTTTGAATGTTGTATACACAGGCAATTCCAATTAAATCAGTCCATGATAGCTTAGAGGATCTTCAGGTGTCTCGCTATCATTTTGCAATGAATGGAAAATCATTTTCAGTGATACTGGAGCATTTTCAAGACCTTGTTCCAAAGGTTAGTGATTTGGGTTTATGTATGTGTTCACATAAATACATTGTAAACAGTATTTTAAAGAAAGTCATATTTTTTTTTTTTCCAGTTGATGTTGCATGGCACTGTGTTTGCTCGTATGGCACCTGATCAGAAGACACAATTAGTAGAAGCATTGCAAAATGTAGAGTAAGTATTGGGGTGTGTAGTGCTATTTATTTATTTATTTATTTATTTATTTATTTGGTGAATTGTAGTTTATTTTCAAACCTAGAAAAGTAATATTTCATATATAATATCCCCTATGAGGTAGGTAGGCAATAACTTAAAGTGTCTATTTAAAAGAGGCTTATGTGCTCATGTAGGATCTTGCAGCTAAAGTAAAATATCTACAATTTCTTTTCTAGGTCATATGTATGAGGTAGAGTTCATTCATCTCAGTTTGATGGAAGTACTTTATAGTTTAGGTAAATAAATATGTTTCAAGTTTTTAAGGAGAACTCTATACTAATAGCATTAAAAGTAAGTGTGCTAAAGGGTATACAAGCCCAAGTACTTTGCTCTAAAGATTAGGAAATTGAGATGTTAAAATGATAAACTGAGTTGTCCATCTTGTGGCAGAAATAGGACAATACCCAGGTTATTTGACAGGCAGGCTGTTACAAAGCAATATGCCTGTGATCATTGTAATGAAAAGATTCCTTTGTTTCACTGGGGGAATTTTGATTTATTAGCTCTCCTAATATGGTATTAGTGAAGTCTAAATTATTGTATCTTTTAGGAAATTAATAAAAATCTTAACATAATTTTTGTTTTCCAGTTACTTTGTTGGAATGTGTGGTGATGGTGCAAATGATTGTGGTGTAAGTATACTTTCTGTAATTTATAATTCTTTCTCTATCCCTGGGGTGGGGAACATTTGGCACGCAGGTCATGTAAATCCCGCAAAATCATTTGGTCTGGCCCTGCCAAAGCATTAGGATTGAGTTAGTGAAATGTTTGACCAAAATAGCAAGCTAATTTTTAAGTTGATTATTTTGTATGGCCCTCAGATGATGTTATAAATACCCAAATGGCCCTTGTCAGAAAAAGGTTCCCCATCCCTGCTAGCCTAAGTCACATTGACAATATGTTACCAGTTTTCTTTTTCTAACTTTTAGGCTCTAAAGAGGGCACATGGAGGCATTTCTTTATCAGAGCTTGAGGCTTCAGTGGCATCTCCCTTTACCTCCAAAACTCCTAGTATTTCCTGTGTGCCAAACCTCATCAGGTAGGACAAATGGAAAATTTCCTGTTGTCTCTTTGTAGCTTGCTTTAATAATATAGGGGGAAAATTATGACAAAAAGTAATATGAATTTGGTTTTATGGTTTTTTGGTATATTTGATCTGTTATTTATTAGCAACAGATTGATTGTTACTCCTCATCATTTCCAATTCTGCTTTGGCTTAGTTCTTTAGGTAGAAGTGTGCTTTATTGTAGCGTTTGAATGTTAATATTCATCTGTCAAGATATAATTGTGGTTTGGAGGAGGAGTTTGAAATGCCTTTATTCACATGCCAACATTTGTTTTCACAGGGAAGGCCGTGCTGCTTTAATGACTTCCTTCTGTGTGTTTAAATTTATGGCTTTGTACAGCATTATACAATACTTCAGTGTTACTCTACTGTACTCCGTGAGTACTAATATTGCTTACAGAGTTAGCACTTAGTATTAAGACATTTAAATTAAGATATGAGCGTATGTGTTTGATTTTGAGTACATGCATTAATTATGGAATTTACATAAGTAGCAGTTATAAATTTTTCTTTAGTTTTACTATGTTTTGTTTAGCAGATTGAAAAATATCAGTCTGGAATAGCTTAAGGCTGGCAGCTGTGGTTGAACTGTGTGAATAAAAGATAATTGTATACTTTTTTGCCTTGAGCACAGATTGGACATCTTTTTAAGAATCTTTCTAAATGCTAAATAAGCTGTGACATATTTCAGAATTGTAGTTAATTTTGCTATACATTTACAGGAAAAGGCCAGAATGAGAAAAAGTGTTTCAGCAGTAGTTGTAGGATATTATGAATTTGGAGAAATACCTTAAACAGTGGTATACATAAGTACTCTATCAGATTTTATCCTGGAAGTGATCTCACTTTAGATATCTTTCTAAGTGAACATTGGTGACATCCCAAGGAGTCTTTGTGAAACTATACTTTTTTATCATTTGTAGAAAGTATCAGGAGGGATGTTGTTAGATATTAAGGAAGCTTCAAGATACTAATTTTCAAGAATATTGAATATTGTGAGTAAAAGTTTGTGTTTCTTTTTGCCAAAAAAACTTTTAAAAGATTTTTATTGAATGAATTGTTAGGAGATGCCTTTTATACTAATATATTAAATTGAATGTTTGCAAATATGTTGTATTTTACTGATTTGAAAGGCAAATGTATTTTACTTTTCAAGCAGGTCCAAGTGTCATGTAGTAGTAATCATTGGGGGTGGGAGGGGACTAAAACCCCAGAGGAAAGTGGTAATTGTACCTGAAAACTAAATATGTTTTAAAAAATTACTTCTGTAGGTCTTAAGTAACCTAGGAGACTTCCAGTTTCTCTTCATTGATCTGGCAATCATTTTGGTAGTGGTATTTACAAGTGAGTATTTTGTTAGTGATTTCAAAGCCTATGAAATTCTAGTGACTTGTTAAACTTTGGTAAATTTACATCAACAATTGTAACACTGCATACCTCTCCAGATTTCTTGTTACATTGCCTTTTATTATAAGTTGCTTATGTTTTGTCCTATTTATTCTCTCTCCACTCCTTTTTGAAATATTTGAGAATAAATTAGTATTATTATGCCCCTTTCCCTCTGAATATTTTAGTATATATTGCCAAAAAACAAAGCCATTCTCTTATACTGTATAATTAAACACAGTTGTAAAGATCATGAAATTTAGCATTGATAAAATAGTATCTAATCCACAGCAGATGTTCAGGTTTTGTCATATGTACCAACAGCGCCCTTTCATAATCATATTTTTTAAAATATATTTTTATTGATTTCAGAGAGAAGGGAGAGGGAGAGACAGAAACATCAATGATGAGATAGAATCATTGGCTGCCCCCTGCATACCCCACACTTGGATCGAGCCCACTACCCAGGCATGTGCCCTTGACCAGAATTGAACCTGGGACCCTTAAGGTTTGATTCCTGGCGCTCTATCCAGGAATCAAACCTTAAGGGTTTGAGAAACCAGCTATGGCCTAACAATGTTCTTTTATACCTATCTTTTTTTCTTAGTCCTCTAGCTTAGGTCTAATCAGGCTCACAAACTTCATGTAATTATTATGTCTCTTAGTCTTCTTTAATCAGGAATATTACATCAGCCTTTTTTTGGAGGGGTCTCTTGATATTGATATTTATTAAAAAGATATACCAGTTGTATGGCTTTGTGCAGTATATTCTAATCAGACTCAGGCTTTAAATTCTTTTTAAAAAATCTATATATTATTTTTTTTTACAGAGAGGAAGGGAGAGGAATAGAGTGTTAGAAACATTAATGAGAGAGAAACATTGATCAGCTGCCTCCTATACACCTCCTACTGGAGATGTGCCTGCAACCAAGGTACATGACCATGACCAGAATCAAACCCGGGACCTTTCAGTCCGAAGGCTGACACTCTATTCCCTGAGCCAAACCGGTTAGGGATAAGCTATAAATTCTTGGTGGGAATATCACATACAGGTTGCTCTGTCCTTCTAGGTAGCCTATTTAATAGAAGAGTAATATGCAAATTGACCATCATTCCATCACACAAGATGGCTGCCCCCATGTGGACACAAGATGGCCACCACAAGATGGCCAGCAGGGGAGGTCAGTTGGGAGGTACCAGCTCAGCAGGGGAAGACAGTTGTGTGCAATCAGGCCAGCAGGGGAGTGCAGTTGGTAGGGACCAGGCCTGCAAGGGAGAGCAGTTGGGGGGCGATCAAGTCTGCAAGGGAGGGCAGTTAGGGGTGATCAAGCCTGCAGAGGAGGGCAGTTGAGGGGGACCCAGGCCTGCAGGGGAGAGCAGTTGGGTCTGGGGGGCAGGCCTATATGGGAGGGCAGTTAGGGGTAACCAGACCTACAGGGGAGGGCAGTTAGGGGCAAACAGGTTGGCAGGGGAGCAGTTAGGCATCAATTAGGCTGGCAGAGGAGTGTTTAGGGGGTGATCAGCCTGGCAGGTAAAAGCAGTTAGGGGCAATTAGGAAGGCAGGCAGGCGAGCAATTGTGAACCAGCAGTCCAGGATTGTGAGAGGGATGTCTGATTGCGGGGTCCCACATTGGAAAGGATGCAGGCTGGGCTGAGGGACATTCCCCCCTTCCCCACACAAATTTCGTGCACCGGGCCTCTAGTATCATAGAAAGAGACACAAGATGTTGGTTTGTCCCAGTATTGGTGATGTTCACATCAAAATAAATAATGTCCCTAGCCAGTTTGGCTCAGTGGATAGAGCATCGGCCCATGAACTGAAGGGTCCTGGATTCAGTTCAGATCAGAGTCATGCACCTTGGTTGCAGGCTTGATCCCTGGCCCTTCTTGGGGTGCATGTAGGAGGCAACCAATCAATGTGTCTCCCTCACATTGATGTTTCTCTGTCTCTCCACCTCCCACTCTCTCAAAAAAAAAAAAAATCAATAGAAACATATTCTTGAGTGAGGAGGATTAACAACAAAAATAATAATAAAAAAAATAAATAGTAATGGTAATAGGATCTTGACTCAATCAAATAAAAATGTACATACTGGCAGGCAAGCAGGCAATGAATGAATGAATATGTAAATGAATAAATGAAATGATGGACTTAAATCATGGAAAGAACTTTTCTAGTTTTATTGACATTTTAAGCCAAATAATTTTTTGTTGTTGGGGATTATTCTGTGCATTGTAGGATCCTTACCAGCATCTCTGGCCTCTACCTAACTAGGTGCCTGTAACACTCTTCCAGTTGTGACAACCAAAAATAGCTTTAGACTTTGTCAAATGTTCCCTGAGGGGCAAAATCATGCTAATTGAGAATGACTTGTTTAGACCTATTTTTTAATTTTTATGAAATTTATTGGGATGAATTGGTTAATAAAGTTATATTCAGGTGTACAATTCTATCATAATACATCATAGACAGTCTTTAATGGATGCTAAAAATTAGTGAATGAGCTCTGGCAGGGTGGTTCAGTTGATTGGAACATTGTCCTGTACACCACAAAAAGGTTGTGGGTTCCATCCCAATCAGGACACGTACAAGAGGTGATCAATCAATGTCTTTCTGTCTCTCTTTCTCTCTCTCTCTCTCTCTCTCTCTCTCTCTCTCTCTCTCTCTCTCTCTCTCTCTCTCTCGTCTCTCTCAAAATAACCCAAAAAAAGTTTGATGAGGGATAGGAGTTTTACATAGTCTCACTATACACATTATTTATAAACAAAGAAAAGAGAGACTTAACAGTGTATAACACCTTAATAAACAATCAGAGCCTTTTTTAATGTTACTGTTTTGTTTATTTTGCTTCAAACTTTTGTTAATGTCTTATAAGGAAGAAATTATTTTATTTTAATTGTAGTTGACAAAAATAATTTTTTAAGTTTCTAAATGAATTTGTTTATGCATTTTATAGAGTCAAATTGATTGAGCAACAAACCTTTCATCTTTTTCTTCTAATGTAGTGAGTTTAAATCCTGCCTGGAAGGAACTTGTGGCACAGAGACCACCTTCAGGTCTCATATCGGGGGCCCTTCTCTTCTCCGTTTTGTCTCAGATCATCATCAGCATTGGATTTCAGTCTTTGGGCTTTTTTTGGGTCAAGCAGCAACTTTGGTATGAAACATGGCATCCACATTCAGAGTAAGTTGATTAGTCCATTTAGAAGACTGTGAAAAGTCTGTAACATTCATGTATGTAAAAATAAGTAAAATTTTATGTAAAAACTAGGTGCCCGGTGCACGGATTAATGCACCAGTGGGGCCCCTTGGCATGACCTATGGGTATTGGGCCGAAACTGGCCATTCAACACCCCCTGCTGCTCCTGCCTACTGCTCCTGCTTACTCTGGCCTGCTGAATGGCCCGCTGAACCTGCCGCTGCTTGCTAAGCTCACTGCTGCTCCGCTGTAGTCTCTGGGCTGTACTGGCCGGCTGTGAACCCACGTCTGGTGCCCTTTGGTGAGCTGAGTGGCACTCTCACTGTGGGAGCACACTGACCACCAGGGGGCAGTGCCTGTGTTGAGCGTCTGCTTCTTGGTGGTCAGTGTATGTCATAGCAACCAGTCAATCAGTTGATCAGTCGCTTAGGCTTTTATATGTATAGATTTTGCCTGCAGCTTAATTAAACACTTAAATAATTTAATTCATGACTTTATATTATGATAATTTCTTCTGTGTGTAAGAAGACAGTCTGGCAAGATCTTAATCACTACGAAGGTGGGGACGTTGGACCAGTTTCTTAATTTGCTACTGAGCTTTGCTTTTCTTATCTGTAAAATTAGAAAGTTGAAATTAATTACTTGGACCTTTTATATACTCAGAATGTTGGTGCTTCTAACTTTTCTAACCCCATTTTAGGAAATAGCATTTTAAAAGCTAAATTCTTTTTTTTTTTTTTTAAAGTATTATTTGTTTATGGATAGAGTGTTCTACAGTTCACAAATAATGACAACAGTATTTTAATTAATTAAACATAAAAGCTATTCACTAAGGTAATTTTGTAGATTTAAATTTTCAGATGCAAATATTTATTTTGTTTGAGGGAGATTAATTGTCTTTAAAGTTTTAGAAAAATAATATTACTGTTTGCTTATCTATCTATATCTATCTATCTATCTATCTATCTATCTATCTATCTATATAAAAGCGTAATACTCTTAAGTGTCTGGTCATTCAACCAGTTGCTGTGATGCACACTGACCACCAAGGGGAGATGCTCTGACTGATAGGTTAGCTCGCTGCTGGGGTCTGGCTGATCAGGATTGGGCAAGATGGGCTGGGCATGCCCTGGAGCCTTCCCATGGTCCCTCCCCTGGCTCTGATCATGTACCAGTGAGGTCCCTTGGCCTGGCCTGCGCTCTCTTCAAATCCAGGACCCTTCTGGGAATGTTGGAGAACCAGTTTTGCCCAATCTCCTCAGGCCAGGCCGAGAGAATCTGCACCGGGCCTCTAGTGTGTAAATAAAAACACTGCATATGAAAAGGAATAGATGGGGTTGTTCTCAAGAATCTTACCAAATTCATAGCAGATTTTTAAAAAATATATATATTTTATTGATTTTGTACAGAGAGGAAGGGAGAGAGATAGAGAGCCAGAAACATCGATGAGAGAGAGTCATCGATCAGCTGCCTCTTGCACACTCCACCAGGGATATGCCCGCAACCAAGGTACATGCCCTCGACCGGAATCAAACCCGGGACCCCTCAGTCCCCAAGCCGACGTTCTATCCGTTGAGCCAAACCGGTCCCGGCTCATAGCAGATTTTTAAATAAATATATTTTAGCCGAGACCGGTTTGGCTCAATGGATAGAGCGTCGGCTTGGGGACTGAAAGGTCCCGGGTTCGATTCCGGTCGAGGGCATGTACCTTGGTTGCGGGCATATCCCCGGTAGGGGGTATGCAAGAGGCAGCTGATCGATGACTCTCTCATCGATGTTTCTAACTCTCTCTCTCTCTTCCTCTCTGTATAAAATTAATAAAATATATTTAAACAAAAAAAAAAGAAAGAAAATGTGACTTTAAAAAAATAAATAAATAAATATATTTTATTGATTTCTTACAGAGGAGGGAAGAGGGATAGAGAGTTAGAAACATCGATGAGAGATGAACATCAAATGTAGCATATTTTGTTACTATTTAACAATGCTTATTATAGCTGATGTTTTAGTGATGGATATTGGGGACTTCTTATACTAAGTTCTATCTTTGTTTGCCAGTCCTGTTCACCTGGAAGTAGAGATGAGAGAGCCATAGCTGGAGAATATTGACAGCCACCTCAGTGCCAAGTGCTATGCTGGACATATACACACCTTATCCCACAGTAACCTTTTGAATGAGCAGGTGGTGTCCACACTTGCTGGTCGGGACATGGGCTCAAAAATTAAATAATATTTCCTTAGTGATAGCTAAAAAATGGTAGAGTTAAGGTCAAACCAAAGGTCATTTTACCTTTACTATGCTAAAATTACTCCCCAAATTCATGTTAAGTAATGAAGTTTCTTCTAATTTTTTAATTGATTGAAATGTGACTAAATTGAAAAAACCCTTAATGTTCTTCTACCTGTTTTATATATCTTAACCTCATTTTTGTTGGGTCTTTTGCTATATATCTTATTTCTATTTATTTTATGGTAGTCAAGGCAAGTAAGGTAGAATTGGTTTCTTTTGTGCAATTGGTATTGTGTTTAGCAACATAAAAATTTTTTTGTATGTTTCAGTGCTTGTAATACAACGGGAAGTCTATATGGGAATTTCTCACATTTGTATAATGAAACCGAAGATGATCCACATAATATACAAAATTATGAAAATACCACAGTGTTTTTTATCTCCAGTTTTCAGTACCTCATAGTGGCAATTGCCTTTTCAAAAGGAAAACCTTTCAGGCAACCTTGCTACAAGAATTGTAAGTTTGGTATTCCCACACTGCTTACCTTCTTTAAAAATAATGTAAGAAGAGTAGAGTTAAAATTGTCTTTCCATAAATAGATATCTCTTAGTGATCTAGATGTTTATTGTCTGTTTTATTCTCCTGGTAGCTGCCACCCTAAGTTTAAAACTAAAGTCACCAGTTCTGAATATTCCTCGTTTCACAACCAATTACTTCTGGCTGAAACTTTTATTTTTACAACCCATTATAGGAAATTTTAATTAGAAGCAGGAACAGAGGGTATTACACTTTCCTTCTGGGTGGTCTGGACAACACAGTTGTCTGTTCTTCATTTTTGACATGGGTATAGTCAATGTTCACATGGATTTCTTCTGTCACCTTTGCATCCTGCAGAAGGGGCCAGTAGAATGGAAACTTGTGCCTTGAAGACTTTTCTTCCATAGCATTAAAAATTTTTGTTTATGCTGAAACCGGTTTGGCTCAGTGGATAGAGCGTCGGTCTGCGGACTGAAAAGTCCCAGGTTCGATTCCGGTCAAGGGCATGTACCTTGGTTGCAGGCATATATCCCCAGTAAGGGGTGTGCAAGAGGCAGCTGATCAATGACTCTCTCTCATCGATGTTTCTCTCTATCTCTCTCCCTTCCTTTCTGAAGAAAAAAAAAATTGTTTATTTTTTATTTGCTTTATTGGGGTGACATGACATTGGTGAATAAAACCATACAGGTTTCAAATGTGCAAATCTATAACACATCATCTGCATACTGCATCGTCTGCTCTCCATCCAAAGTTACATTTTTCTGCTATAAGGTTTATGGGTTTTTTTACTCTATATAGGTTTTGTTTTTGAGTCAAAAAAAATAAAGGGACTATGAAGGAAATCCTTTATGGTGCCTTACTTTGGTGTCATATTCTATCAAAAGGATTTGGTGTCATTAACAAATCTGTGATGCCATAAATTGGGACATTTACACTAATAAAAGAGAAACATGCAAATTGACCATCACTCCAATGTCCATCAGCCAATCAAGAGGGAATATGCAAATTAAAAGGAAAAAGATGCTGGCCATCCAGCAGCTCCAGGCTCGGAGTGATGGGGCAGGGCAGGATGCCTGCTATGAGAGGGAGGGTGGGCAGGCCCTGGGGGCAGGGAGGCAAAGTGATCTACAGGAGCTGCACCCTAGCTGCAGGAAGACAAAGACTGCAGACTCTGAGTGGAGTCTGCAGCAAAGGCGGCAGATTCCAGCCTGAGCAAAGGCCTGGGTCCTGGATGCTGGAAGCCAAGAGAAGGAAGGCCTATTGCACTATTCTCTTTGTGCAACAGGCCTCTAATATTTAATAATAAATTGAGTTTACATGTTACATTACATTTTAAATACTTAAATCTACTCTTTTTTATGGGTTTCTCATTATATCCCCATTTTCTAGTTAAAACAATTTGATGCTGAATGACTTGCTAGTGTTTACATACCTTTGTGGCAGAATGTAAAACAATCTAATCTTTAACCTAAGGAACATTCTCCCCTGGCCCTTAATCACCACACAACAGAATTTGTTTTAATAGCTATCTTCTGGTGAAGAGTATTACTTCAATAGGATTACTAAGAAAGTTACAAGGCCAGGAGAAGCCAGGGGCTGAGAGCATAATCCACTGAAAACTCTTACCTCTCTAAAATGAATACCTGATCTTTCCATTCTTAGTTGAAATCATCTTGGTCTTTTCTTTTGGGTGGATATGTAAATCTGCCAGCCACCCACCTCTCCTGTCAAATTCCTTTGATGAGTGCCTCTTTTTCTCCCTTGGGTAAGCAGAGGAAAGATTCAATTTATTTTCTCCTTCTCTTGAAGATCTTGGCAGAGTTTTATTGGTGTGATCAAAGGGGGTTGCTCCAGGAGAAAGACATGAAAATTTGAGAAGCAGTATTGAGGTGGATGTAAAAAGTTTCTGAACTTGAGTAAATTTTTTCTTCTTGCAACATTCCAGGAACTAGATTGCAGATCTATATTTTGTTTATTGTTTGTGAAAATGCAATAGGATTTTAAAAACATTTAATATGGGCTATTACTTTTATTGAAACAAAACTTCTATCTCCACATTTTTCTTTGGCATGTATAGACTGACATTTCTTTTTGTCCCTTTTCATGTTTTTATTTTTTAGTAGTTTGTGTGTTTGTGTACTTCCAACTGGCATTTTTAGAGCACTTTTTTTTTTTTTTTTAACAGACTCTAATAACTTATCTATGCCTCATTATGGAAGCACACAGTTAACAAGAGGGCCATGAGCAGAAAATTTTATTTTTGAAGTTGGGAAAGTGATACAAAGTACTTCAGGGTGGGATTTACTATTTATTCCTAGTTATCACAGCAAGACATAGAGGTAACCCACATTTAACATAATAAATCAGCTCACTTTTTAGGTTTCAACTATCAATTTCTGTGGAAGTATTTTCACAGAAGAAGTCAGTGAAATAGTGACTTTTAAATAGTGAAATAGTATATTCAGCTAGGAGAAATATACTTACATTCAAATTACAATGCTTCTATTTAGGATTATAACATACCTAATATTGAAAATAAATGTTATTCAGCATTTTTACTAGTATAGTTGACAGTTGTCATTGCATACATGTTTAAATGATGATCTCGTTTTGTCATAAATAGTCTAGTCTCTTATTTGTGAATTATGACTGGCTTGATTATCTTACAAAGTAGCTCTTTATTTGGGAGAAATAAGAAATTTTCATAAAGGTTTGTCTGTTAGTTTTTTAAATGCTGTTTATTTTTACATCATATAAATGAATACTTTGGTCCTAAATAATGTATTATACTCTAGGAAGTAATATTGAGCATACTTTATATACTTACTCAACCTAAATAGCAACATTCAGTGTTTACAACCAAATTTAGAATTAACAGGATTCACAGTGTACCAGTTATATGTCTTTTTATATAAAGGAACTTTCTAATTTAATTGTTTTACTTTCTTTTTCAGATCTTTTTGTTTTGTCTGTGATTATTTTGTATGTTTTCATGTTATTCATCATGTTGCATCCAGTTGCCCCTATTGACCAGGCTCTTCAGGTAAGGCTTAATTTAAGCACATCAACTATTACTGGTTGCCTGAGGAGTGATATAGTACTTGGGACAGTAACAGAAAAGGGCATATTAGTATTATATGAAGTTTACACAGCGAAATGAGACTTCTGGATGTTTGCTGTGGCTTAAAATCTATCCCTCTACTCTTATGTTACTGGGGAAATAGACTGAACTGTCTACATTTCTTTTTTCCAGGACTGCTTTTTTCTGAATTTTCTAAGATACAGTTTTATTAACGCAAAGATAACCTATAAAGAATAAAAACATAATTAAAACAGCAGCTTTTATTGACTCTACTTGCTATTTTATTTTTCTTTCCTGTTTCTTCACTTTGCATTCCATTTCTACAAACAGATGTCCCAAACCAACATACTTATTGAATAGTCTGCACACACTGCTGCTTCTTCAATATTGATTGAGTTCTCCATACTTTAAAAAATATATATATATTCTTATTGACGTCAGAGATAAAGGGAGAGGGAAAGAGAGATAGAAATATCAATGGTGAGAGAGAATCATTGATAAACTGCTTCATGCACACCACCTAATAGGATATGTGCCCTTGACTGGAATTGAACCCAAACCCTTCAGTCCACAGGCGAACGGAACGCTCTATCCTCTAAGCCAAACCAGCTAGGACTCTCCATACTTTTTTTTAATTAAAAACTATGTATGATGAAATACTTTTATACAAAAGAATATGCACGCATTTAATTTGTGAGGCATAATAGTAACAAAAATAACACCCATGAATCCATTATCAAACCTAAAAGTAGCATCATCAAGACAGTAAGTTTGTCTAAACACCCTGAGAGAACAACTATTCTAATTTTTTACTTCATTGTGTTGCTTTTTATTATACACTTGTTATTTAAGCATGAAGTCATAAAAAATAGTTTTGCTTGCTTTTGAACTTTATGAAAATCGTATCTTGCTATCTGTATTTTTCTGTGACTTGCTTTTTCCTGTTAGCATCATTTCTGAGATTCAAGCATTTTATTTTCACTGCTATATAGAATTCCACTATAGGATTATACTATAATTATTTATCCATTGTTCATCAGTACATAATTGGGTGATTTTCGTTTTCTGTGAGCACTTGCAATTTAGCTTTCTCAGTTATGCCAAGTTGTTTTCCAAAGTGATTGTATCAGTTTATACTTTCATCAGTGTATGAGAATCCATTGTTACACATCATTGCCAACAAACACTTGTCTAGTGGATGTAAAAGTGTTATATCATGATGGTTTTAATTTGCAAATTATTAATTTTAAGTTACTAAAGAGGTTGAGCATTTTTCATATGTTTTTGGCCCTTTTTAGTCCCTTTGTGAAATGCCTATTCATGTTTTTACCCACTTTTTTCTATGAGGATGTTGTCTTTTTCTTATTTTTAGAAGTTCCTAATGTGCATGGCTATATATGTGATAACTTGGGCATGTGCCCTTGACTGGAATTGAACCCAGGACCCTTCAGTCTGCAGGCCGACACTTTATTCACTGAGCCAAACTGTCTAAGGCCTTCCTGAAGGTTTTAATACAGGTTTTTGTTAGATTTATTTTTGGGGTATTATCATTTTTGTTCCTTTGATAAATATGTTTAAAATTATATTTTCTATATAGAAACATACAACAATTTTTCTTTGTTGTATGTTATTGAGAGGTTTGCATGAAAGTTATATGAGCTTTTATGCTGGTATAAACAGTTGTATATTCATCTCATATCCAGAAGCCTTGTCAAAGTTCATTCTAAAAACTTTTAGATTCTCTCTGGGCTTTTTGGTTTTAGATAGTCGTCATCTATAAATAATGACAATTGTTTTGTTTCTGACATTTCAGTACTTAGCTTTGTATATATTTTTCACGTCCATTAACCTTATTAATGTTGCTTGTAATGGTACTGATATGCTGTAATGTCCCTGACTCTAAAAGGAGTGCTCTTAATATTTTATCATTGGATATATTGTGGGCTGGGTTTCTGGTATATTACTGTTTTATCAGGTTGTGGAAGCTTCCTTCTATAGTGTTGCTACCATAAATAGATGATTAATTTTACCTAATGCTTTTTCTATAGCCACTGAAGTGATCACACAGTTTTTCTCCCTAGAGAATGTAGTAAATTGTAGTTAGTTGACTGGTATTTAAATGTTGAACCAACACTGTCTTCAGGAAACCCAATTTGGTCATGATGCATTCTTTTTCATACTTTCTGGATTTGGTTTGCTATGATTTTGTTTAGAATTTTTGTTTCTGGTTGCATAAGTGAGATCACACTTAATTTTTCTTTGTTGTATGTTATTGAGAGGTTTGCATGAAAGTTATATGAGCTTTATGGGATGGTATTACACTTTGTGAACTTTTCCATAATTTAATCCCCTTTGAATGAGTATTTAGGTTGTTTCCAGTGTTTTGCTATTGCAAATCCTTATGCTGTATTGCAAATCCTTATGCACTTCATTAAGAAGAAGAATTGCATACTTGGAGGTTAAATGTGCAGAAATGGAATTGTTTGATCAAAGGGCATCTCGAATTTTAATTTTTATAAATACTGTGTTATTTATCTTAGAAGAAATTGACAGTTTATCATCTTAACAGCAGTGTACTGACTGTTTCCCGGCCATTTCATTGAGGGATTTAGATAAGCACTTTAAGCAAAAGAAGAAAGCAAAACAGAAAACACATTTCTTTCCTGCCACATGTGTCTTCTGCTTCACAGTCAAATTGAGAAAAAAGGGGGGCATAGGTAGTACTTTCAACAATAAAGATTAAAAACAATTATTTCTTGAAAGAGTGCTATGAAAATTCACTTAACTTCCTGCACACTCATCAACTCGTCTGGATTCTACACCTGCTAGTCCACTGAAGCTACCTTGCCAAGGCAGTTAACAACCTTCTTAAATCCAATGACCTTGTCTCATTATTTTCTTTTTCTTTCTTTTTTCTTTTTTATTCTTACTTGATTCCTTAGCAGTACTTGACAAGTTAGCCGTGCCAACATTCTTGAGATGTTTCCTCTGGAATTTTGTGATGTTTTACCCTTTTGTGATTGTTCCTCCCTACTTCTGTAAATCCTCATCCTTCATTGTAGTTCCACATCCTCTGCCTGCTCTTTACATGTTTTGTGTACATTTCTGTAGTTATCCCTACATTCAAGTGATCTTATCTGTAGTCATGGCTTCACCTATAGTTGTTGTCTGTGTAATGAAGATTCCCGCCTTGTGTTCACAACTGAGCTTTAGACCTGAATCTACGCCATTGACATACTGATATTATCTGCATGGTTCACCCATCAACATATTTAAACTAAGCTCATCATTTTCTTCCTCAGCTCTGCTTTGTCTCTGTTTCTTGGTACCACTGTTTACCCAAGTCAGAAGTGTGTATTTGTATCCTTATTTATTTCTTTTCTTTTTATAGCCAGTCTGTTGATAGATTCTCTCAGTTTTCTTATTCTGAATATTTCTCTTTTCATTCCAACCCCATTTGTTACCTAAAAGGAAACTATTGTTTCCTCTATTCACAATACTTTTGACACCAAATGTTTTGGAGTGGTTCCACACCAACCAGTTCTCCAACTCTCTGGACATCAACTGGATATCTTGCATTTCAGTTCTGACACTAACCATCTGGAGATAGTGCAGGTTAAGGGCTCAGCCACACAAGACTATATAACTTCAGATACCAGTTGTAAATCCTAGCTTGTCACCTGTACTTCTGACCAACCAGCTATACATTGTTCCTGCAAACCCCTTTTGAGGTTTCATAATTTGCTTTATCAGCTACAAGAACTTAGGGGAACACTTAAATTTACTATTTTATTATCCTATCTAATAAAAGAGTAATGTGTAAATTGACTGTCACTCCAACACACAAGATGGCCACCCCCATGTGGTCAAAGATGGCTGCCCCCATATGGACATAACATGACTGCCACAAGATGGCCAGCAGGGGAGGGCAGTTGTGGGCAATCAGGCCAGCAGGGGAGTGCAGTTAGGGGCAATCAGGTCTGCAGTTAGGGATGACCGGGCCTGCAGGGGAGAACAGTTGGGAGGGACCCAGGTCTGTAGAGGAGAGTGGGGGAGGAGAGAGAGGGGGCAGGCCTGCAGAGGAGGGCAGTTGGATGGAACCAGGCCTGCAGGGGAGGGCAGTTAAGTGGAATCAGGCCTGCAGGGGAGGGCAGTTGGGTGGAAACAGGCCTGCAGGGGAGGACAATTGGGCAACCAGGCTGGTAGGGGAGGATAGTTAAGGACAATCAGATTGGCAGGGGAGGGCAGTTAGGGGTGACCAGGCCTGCAGGGGAGGGCAGTTGAGGGCGACCATGTTAACATGGGAAGACAGGGGCAATTGGCCCAGCAGGGGAACAGTTAGACATCAATCAAGCTGACAGGGGAGTGACTAGGGGGTGATCAGGCTGGCAGGCAAAAGTGGTTAGGGGCAATCAGGCAGGCAGGCAGGCAGGCAAGCAGGGGTTGGGATCCAGTAGTCATGGATTATGAGAGGGATACCCATGTAGGTGGAATCGGGCCTAAATGGGCAGTTGGACATCCCTTGAGGGGTCCCAGATTGGAGAGGATGCAGGCAGGGCTGAGGGACACTCACCCATGCACGAGTTTCGTACACCGGGTCTGTAGTAAAGAATATAATAAAAAGGTACAAATGATCAGCCAGATGAAGAGTTATGTAGGCAGAGGTCTTCTGGAAAGACCCAGAATACAGAGCTGCTGTCCCTGTGGAGCTGGAATTTACCACCCTCCCAGCACATGAATATCTCTAAAACCTCTAGTTTAGGTTTCTTTTGTTTTTTAAAGGAGGCTTCATCACTAGGAATGATCAGTTATTAATTCAATCTCCAGCCCAGCCCCTCTTTCCTTCCTGGAGGATGAGGAAGTGGAGCTGAAAGTTCCAATCATGGCTTAAATCTTTCTGGTGGGCAATTCCCATCCTGAAGCTCTTTAGTAGCCCACCAAGAGTAGCCTTATTAGAACAAAAAGCATTCCAGGGAGTTTAGAAGTTCTGTATAAGAAGTTCTGTATCACCTCAATCACTCAGGCAAATTATAAGAGTTTTAAGAGCTAAATGTCATGAACCAGGGACAAACCAAATATATATTTCTTATCATGCTCACCACTTTAATTCAAGCTACTGCCACCTTTTGTTTGGATCACTATAGTAGTCTTCACCCTTTCTTGCTGGAGTCTTAAATGTTTTTATAAAATAGTAGATCGCTCCTCAGCACCGAGCACAGTATCTTGGATATTCACTCAGTGAATATTTGCTGACTAAAGAATGAATGTGTAAATGGGTTTTTTCTTTTCTTTTTTAGGCCTTGGAATTTATAGATTTTAAAGTGAAAATTTAGATTGTATTTCTTAAATTGATCTATATAGTTCTTTTATTCACTTGTCTTTATGTCAGTATAGGTAAAAAAAATATTTTATTATTAGATCAGTATCTGCTCCATTGTTTAAAGACAAGATTTTATTTTTAAAAAATAATAAAAATAAAATAAAAAAATAAAAAATAGGGACTTATTAGCCCTAGCTGGTTTGGCTTAGTGGCTAGAGCATTGGTCTGCGGACTGAGGGGTCCCAGATTCGATTCTGGTAAAGGGAATATGACATTAATGTTTCCCTCTCTCTCTCCTTCTCCCTCTCCCTCTCTGAAATCAATAAAAAATTTAAAAAATAGAGTCTTAATAGAAATTTATGGTCTAGTAAGGCTTGAGCTATTCAATCTGAGTGATGAAGATCTGACTAAGCTCAGCCACTTTAATATTTTTTTAACCTTGTTATTTACACTGAGTTTTATCATCTGAAAAGTGAATATAATATCTACCTTGTGGTGCTATTCTGGATTGCGTAGGTATTCTATGTGAAGGTACTTTGTACATAGTAATAGGAATTAAATTAATCTTAAAGTTATGTAATATCATAAATATAAACTATATACTACAATTTTAACTTAAAAATTTTTGTCTTACAGATTGTGTGTGTACCATATCAATGGCGTATAACTATGCTCATCATTGTTCTTGTAAATGCCCTTGTATCTATCATGGTGGAGGTAAGCACTTCAGATAATTAAATGGCTACCTTGCTGCTTTGGGATTCTTGGTGATTTAATGGTAATGGGGAAAGAGAACAGGTAGCATTATGGAAGCCTACGAAGTTTCAGTTTCATTTTAGTTAAATTTTTTTTTAGCCTTCTGATATTTCCATTAACTGATAGTAGGCATATTAAGGGATATTACTTAGCTGTACTCATACAGGTAGAAAATAAGCAGTGAGCTAGCAAAAATTAGTGATTGAGAGAAAGGGGAGAAAACTGGTTCTCAGAATTGTCGGGGGAAGGCAGGAGGCACATCAATAAAGAGGAAGCCACCAAATTGGACGGGTTGTGGGGTGGTGGGAGTGGAGATTGGTGATCAGACGGCCTATAAACCAGTGGCCGAGAAATCAGAGTGGGCTGGCACCACCGAGTCCTGTGATGTGTAGTAAAATTTCCCATTTAAGGAAGAAAAGGAAGAAGGGGGACTTTCTCCATGAGAAGTCATAAATATTAATAATAAGAGAGTTTGCCGAAACCGGTTTGGCTCAGTGGATAGAGCGTCGGTCTGCAGACTGAAAGTCCAGGTTCGATTCCGGTCAAGGGCATGTACATTGGTTGCGGGCACATCCCCGGTAGGGAGTGTGCAAGAGGCAACTGGTCGGTGTTTCTCTCTCATCGACATTTCTAGCTCTCTATCTCTCTCCCTTCCTCTCTGTAAAAAATCAATAAAAATATTTTAAAAAAAAATAATAAGAGAATTTATTGAGAGTATAAAATAATGACCGTTATGAATTTACCCATTCTCAGCATTGATTAGTGAAACTTCTCTTTCATATTTGCTTTTAAGTTCCCTCTAGAGGTCTTAGGACTCTTTGATTCATTGTACATTGTATAATTATTCTTTTAGGATTGCCTTTACATCCATTTTTATAAAAGAAACTGCTGGGTTCTCATTGCTGTTTATTAATATAATTTTGTCTGTTCTCCAAACTGTTACTATTCTCTTCTACAGTAGCAACATATGAAATGGAAAGAGATAACAGGTGTGATTTTTAAGTTAAGGGTTTCATAGGACATGATTTTGAATTAAAATTAGGTAATTTGGAACTATATATTTCAATGATAATATTTCTAGACTTGGAAATTATGCTTAATTTGTTGTCTTTCTAAAAGATTTTTAAATTTGGACCATAGTTGGCAGCATGGATTTTAAGGTACTGGCACCGAACTTTTTAGAGTGCCCAGTGGAATGTGTGTTTGCTATTGTGTGGACATTATATTTTAAAAGCTTTTCTTTTTCTAAAGGGTAAGTTCAACTTTTCACTCAAATGTTTTAAGATATATTAAAACAGATATTTTTTTTTTTTAGGGAATCCTTTCATCATCTCTCATAATGTTTTATTCTTGTTCTAAAAAAGAATTATTTGTGTTGGATTCTGAAAATCATATTCATATATAGATACAGATACATATAGAATTAATTGTAAATATTTAGTGGAAATAACTCACTGTTAAGAAAAATACTGGATTATAAGCATTATTTTAATATGGGGAGCCTGACTATTCATATAAAAGTCATGTTTTATGAAAAATTTAGAGGTCCCATTTTATCAAGAATTTTGTGATGATTTGCATTTGTCATAAAAGTCATGTTGTTATTTTTTTTATCTGTTTGCAATATTAACTGAAATTCTCTATATAACAAATCATGTTTTTTACTAATGATTCAGCATTGTGTGATCCTTTTTAAATGTGCACATTAATAAAGAATGACTTAGTCATTTTTAATTCTTAACTCACTGGAATGTCTCTCAGAACTTCTGCCTTGACATGGTCCTTTGGAAAGTTGTGTTCAATCGAGACAGACAAGGAGAGTATCGCTTCACCACCACACAGCCAGCACAGGTTGGAACTCAGCACTTGCTCTCAATTCTTCATGTATACCCAGACTCTTTCAGTTGTGTACTCTGCGTTCTGTAGTCTCATGTTCTGTTGTGTGTTGCTTCAACCTTTTTCCCTATGCCTGGCATTTCATTTTTTTGTAAGGAGTCTTAGAATATTCATGGCAAACCTTTGTTACAGGCTTCTCAGGACTTCAGAAATTTCATAAGTCTTTTTTCCATTCCAATCCTTATCTTGTGTTTATGTAAAGGTCTTGTCCTCAGTGGTGAGAGTTAATTTTTCCATTTCTTTTTGGCTTAAATGTTACGTTTTGGTTTTCATGAGTCTCATTAGAAGCTAAATGAGATTTATGTAAACAAAGTTATGAAATGGGAATTATTTCTAAATGGATCAGAGTCCAAAGGTCAATTCTTTCAGCAATTATTTCTGATTTATTGTTACTGTATCTTAATTTTGGGTGGCTTTAGGCTTTTTTCAGCATATGTCTCTCATCAGAAAATTTTCAGGCAGTGCTTATTTTTATACAAACCATGGCTTAGGATTTTTTATTCTTTTGGACCCATTATATAACTTATTGCTTGAAAGATAATGCAAGCACTGTGATAAAAAGAAAATGAGATATAAACCCATTTCCTGGTGTTAAGGTTTTGACCTATAGTTTTTTTCATAGAAAATATAAGTTAATCTTATTTTTTAAACTTATGCCATTGAATTACATACAGCTCTACAGTTTGTTTGTTTGTTTGTTTATTTGGTTAATTTTCTCCTGAGGATATTTTTTTCCCATTGCTTTTCAGAGAGAGTGGAAAAGAGGCAGGGAGGGAGAGAAAGAAACATTGATGTGAGAAACACATCAACTGGCTGCCTCCCACATGTCCCACTGGGGGCAGGGTACCTGTAACCCAGGTACATGTTTTTACCAGGTACATGAGACCCTTTGGACCTGGGGTTTGATGCTCTAACCACCAGCCAGGGCTCTACAGCTTTTTGGGTATAGAGAACTTAATGATGCAAAGTCTCACCTCCTCATTATCTTACTCCTTTGTTTGTAGATGGATGAAGTATTCTAAATATTTTACTAAAAATTTTTGTATCTAAATCTTTTACTCATCATGAGCCATGCAAGGAAACTTATAGAGTTCAAAAGGATTTCTTGGCATTGCTGAATTGGGCTATTCACTTATTTTCAGGGTTGGTTTATTTTTTTTTTTTTAAACTTAAGTAGCAATTTCCTGAGTTTTATTTTGTAATTTAGCAGGCTTGATGCCCAGAATAATACCACATGATCCTTTGATAAGAGGTCCTGGAGAGTGCTATTTATTTTTCTAAAGTTTCATGATGAGTAGTGATATATATATATGGCTAATGTGCACAGTGTCCTCTCGGGAGTTCGACTGGGAAACCAGGAGTTCAATCACTCGCTATGATGTACACTGATCACCCAAGGATGGTATGGAACGAAGAAAGGCCCTGGCCGGCAGCTGGAAGGCCCCCATCAGTCCTCATCACTGGCCAGGCCTAAGGACCCTACCCGTGCATGAATTTCATGCACTGGGCCTCTAGTAGTTTTATAATGATGGGATGAGTTTGGAATCAGCTTCAGTTTTTTTTTTCTCAAAGCAGTGTAATGCCTTAGTAGTGGGCATTAGGGACTCAATTCCTTTACCTAAATCTCCGGTGTCTATATTTCTTTCCTTTTGATTACCTCACTACATTATTTCAGAGGTTAACTTTGGTTCATATCATCAGTTCTCATATGAGATATTTGTATTGGTAAGGCTCAAGCCAAGGAAAACATTTATTGTGAGTTATCAGCTTCTCCAGAGAGATCTACAACTGACAGGAAGTAAATGCAGGTTCTGAAGAGGAATTATACCCTGACTTAGTCAAAATTTGGTATCATAAAGCTGTAAACCATTTAATTGGAAATCCCGCTTTATTGTTCACCCAAAATTAAATGGTAGAAAATTCTGTCATTTGCTAAATCTCTATTTTAAACATTTGTTAATAAGTATCTTCCCTTATTTTTAAGAGTTTGTGCCTCTCACATGCAGTCTTGTCTCTGGAGCATTTAGGGAAGAGTGAAGGTAGAGAGATTGAGTGGTCTAGAGCAGGTAGTTCTAGCATGTCCTGTGTGCTTACCAGTTTGAGAATCATTGAGTAGACAAGAATTTTAGTCCTCATTTTCTATGAACATGATTAAAAAATTATTGGCTTTAAGAAGACTCTTAACACAGACTGATACACTTTCACCTTCTGACATTTGTGTGTGTAATGTGGTGTCACTTCATATTATGACTTTTCAAGAGCCAATCCTATATAATAAAAGCCTAATATGCAAATTGTATCCTCAACTGGGAGTTTGACTAAGGGGCGAGACTGGCTGGCTAATGGCCTGCGGCCCCAACCCAGAATGTCTAGTCCAAGATGTCAGTAGTATCTGCCATAGTGAAAAAGAAAGTAAAGATGAGGTTGCCAGCTACACCTAGGATTTCTGTGGCTGCCATAATTGTTCCTCACCACAAACTCCGGTTCCACGTTTGTCCATTCTGTATATGCACTTTCTACCGAGAATCCCATGAGGTCTTCTCCAACTCTAACTCCTAACCTTTTATACTAATGTCGAGGGAAGAACATTTCTCTTTCTTCTTTTCCTTCTTTACTCTATGTACCCAAAGACCATTGAGTTGGACTGAAAGCTAGAGAACCTCAACTAGGCTTCAGATCTTAGACACTTAAATTGCAAAGTCAAGAACCTCACCTGGAAATCTCTAGTAACCATGTCAAAAAAATCTGATGATCTAACAAGGTGCTATACACTTCTAGGATCCTTCCAATTTTAAGGGATTTCTAACTTCGTTTTATACATAGAGAAATAGCATTTAGTCCACTTGCCAAGATTTTGCATCTAATGAAATGGCAGAGTTGGGAGTGGAAGGAGGAGTGTTTTCCCACTATGCCACATTGCCTCCTGTATGGGGTTATATAGGTATAAACTAATATTAACAATCACATGACGAAATGGAGACAAGCCATAGCTACTGTCAATACTACTTTTTATGGTAGACACCATATGAGGCATTTTGTATAAATTCTAATTGTTATGACAATCTTGAGATATAGGAATGTCTTTAGTTTCTCTCAATTCTTACAGATGAGGAAACAGTGTTAGAACTGGAATTCAGATTCAGATTTATTTGGACCCAGGCCCATATTATTTCTAGGTCAAATAGCTCCCATCTAGTCTTTAAATACAAAATAAGTATCACTTTTTATTTAATAGATACGGTGTTCTTCTTGGCCTACTGAACATTCATGCAGCTAACCTAATTCAGATACAGGAAGAATTTTTACATAATACTAATTTATTTCCTATAGTGATTATAGTTTACTTCTGGATGCTAGGTGGCCTGAATAAAATTGAAAACAGATTAAGTAAACGACATGCAAATAATCAAAGTTAAAACTTTTATGTAGCTAAATATTTCTCAGATGTTAAGACTTATTCTCTGACCAAAAAACAAAAATCTTGATATACCATGATTTTCAAGCAAAAGTATCTATCTATATATGATATATAAAAGCCTAAGCAACCATCCAACCATTAGACTGTCCCACTGGTAGCTATGATGCGCAATGCCCACTAGGGGGCAGACACTCCAACTGGTAGCTGTGACATGCACTGGCCACCAGGGGGCAGACACTCAACACAGGAGCTGCCGAGCTGTGGTGACTTGGCAGCTGCTTTGCTTGGGTGATACACCCAGAACCAGAGAGGAAGGAGCCTGATTCCAGGGTGTGTCACCCGAGAACCACCCTCTCACAATCAGGGAGCCCTGAGGGGATGTCGAGCCGATTTCGGCCGGATCCCATAGGCCAGTCCAAGGGACCCCACTGGTGTACGAATCTCTGCTCCAGGCTTCTAGTTCTTCAATAAATGCCTTTGAACTTCATCCTTGATCTATTGAATGAAAAAATTTCAGTGGAGTGTCCCATCATCTCTATACAGCTATACCCTGTTTGAGAAGATCTGTGCTGCATGGCCTCTTGGTGGCTGCTTAGTGGTAGATGTGGAACTAGAATTATAGTTTGATCCTGCCTGAGGATTTGTGCCTGGTTATATTTTTATTTTGGGGGGGAAATCCAAGTGTTAGCTATAGTCTTTATGCCACTTAGAATATTGTTCGAGCTTATGTATTTATAATGCTAATTCTCATTGTCCTTATTTGTTTTATATTCAGGATTGGTATGGAAGAAGACTTTTATGAAAATCATAGTACCATTATAACACGTCCTGCAAGCCTGGCTTTACATTTTACATGCTACCCATGAAAACATTTCCTAAAAGACACTGCAAAGATTAAACTGGCGTTGGGGTTCTAGAATGAAGTCTGTAATGGTCTAAGAAGCAGGAGAATTTTAGCTGTAGAACTTATTGGACATTCTTTGTAGTTTCTCTGTTGGTCTGTGGTAGCCTCTTTCCCTTTTCCAAGGGATACACGTGGTTATTTAGCCAGGTTTCCTTTCAGGAGCCAACCAGAAGCTCTAGTTGCTGAGGCTCATGTGTTCTCCTGCTTCTGAGACCTGAGTACTCATTCTGAGTCCTGTGATGCTCCCCTCCTCGCTTTCTGGTTGCACAGTGCTTGCTTTTCTCCTCTTGCCACCATCTTCTCTCTGGATTTATTTTTCATTCCAGCATGCCTATAACACCTTTTATTTTCTCTACCGGTGTATTATATTGTGTTTGAGAATGTGTGTGGTATGTTTGTGCTTGCAAACTAACAAATCTATTCTTGCTTATAGTATATATTTTTGTATATGATGTTTGGGGGAGATGAAGACACAGGGACAAAATACGTGTTTAATTACAGTGGAGGGGGTATCCCTAGTGTTTCTTGTGAATTATAACAAGTGTATCTTGCTTTTTATAGGGACATGAGGATTTTTTAAAACATACATGTTAATATAAAAAGAATACTATTCAGCCCTGGCTGGGTGGTCCAGTTGGTTGAAGTGTTGTCCCATACACCAAACAGTGCAAGTTCACTACCCCAATTGGTGGGGCACCAGTTGATGTTTTCTCTCTCACATCTGTATCTCGCTCTCGCTCTCTCGCTCTTATTCTTTCTCAAGAAAAAAAGTTAATAAGCATATCCTCTGGTGAGGATTTAAAAAAGAAAGAATAGTATTCAATTGTGATTCTGTTTGCAATGAAATTGGCTTTAATTTTATTGCTTGCCCACTTTCTGCAGGTGGGGAACAGTGGATTTAGAGATGTGTATGTGTCTTCCATTTGCATACACTTGGCTGTGCCTTTTCTTAACTCAGCCTGCTCTGCATTGTCCTTCAACCCTGCCGGCTCATCTGGACAGACAAAGCCTATATGTTTCTGTTTTTTTTGTTTTGTTTTGTCTGTTTATTTTCTTACAATCACCATTCACCATTAATCTCTTCCTGAGATCCTTTAAAAAGTGCTACATGCCATAAAATAAAAAGTGGCAGCTTTCAGATTGATTTAGGAACAATGGTCTTTTCTGCAACTAAATTGAAGATTTTAAGCATCTTGGAAAAAAGACCCAAGTAGTGAACCCACACCTCAGATTAAATGTTAAGGTTTGTTGTGTGCGGGCCTACCCTGGAAGGGAAGTGTTGGTTATGTGAGTCACTGAAGAACCTATCTGTGGGTTTCTTTTAAGGTAATGGTAATAGCTCTTTTTAGCTAGATGGCTAATCAAAAATCTACCTCCTCTCTCCCCCCAGAATTGTATACCTTGTTACCACAGTTTTTGCCTATAAATTCTCTATAGCAGCGCAGCTTACTGTGTTTTGTTGGTAACGTAAGCAGACCTTTAAAAGCACTCAGTTATTATTGATAGTGGTCTTAGTGCTGCCACATGCCCACAGTTTTGGAGAAGGAAAGAGTAGTAGGTTCCTGGTGGTTGTCTCAATAAAATAAGAGGACCTACCAATTCAAAATGTAGAAAAATTTTAAGAGTTTTCATATTAAAGTATTTTTGCTGTTCTCCAGTGGCAAATGTAGAAACATGTTTAAGAACACATATGTTATAACAAATCTGCCTTTCTTGATCATGAAAATATTTTGGATGTTAACTTTAGAATGCTCCTCTCAGTTACATTATACTTCCATTTGGTGAGATTGTTTCAACTGAGATTAGACCTAGTTGTAGACTGGGTTATGTATTAATGGCAGAATAAAACAACCTGGGATTGTTGCTTTGGAGAAACAAAAGCCAAAATAATTAAAACTTGATCATTCTTTAGAGGTGGATGTAATTAGTTCTTGATATAGTTTACTTTTATTTCATTTTTAAAAAAGATTTTGTATTGATTTTAGAGAGAGAGGAAGGGAGAAGAAAAAGATAGAAGCATCATTGTGACAGAGAAACATCGATCTGTTGGCTACTACACGCTCCCTACTGGGGATTGAGTCCATAACCTGGGCATGTACTCTGACTGGGAATGGAACAGACAACCTTTTGGTGCATGGGACAACACCCAGTCAACTGGGTTTATTTCATTTCTTTACCACAAATTACAGTTAAGATTAATTCTGAGGCCTCTACATATATTTTTTTACAATAACAAGGGACTCTGCTTTCTTATTCTTTGAGAATTATTCAAGATCACAGTCATTAAAAACATCAGGATTAATCAGAAGGATTTCAATGACAGCAGAGCTTTTTATAATGAAATAATACTAAGAAATAGTACTTGCTTTATAACTTTGTATGTACCTTTTCTTAAAGGTAGAGCACCAAGGGTAACCATCATTATAAAATAAAATTGTTTTTGTATGAATGAAAATGTGGCTTTAAAAAAAGTGAATGACGTTAAACATGATCTAAATTCTAATTTTGACCTAACAATATTTTCATATTTATGTTTTGAAAGGTAATGTTAACAGTAACAATGATATTTTTTACACTGCGTTCTTCCAAAAATGATCTAGTACCAAAGGTAGTTTGGAATAGAAGATGAGAGTTTCCATATTGAATATTAAAAAATATTTTCTCTTTCTGAATAGTTTAAATAAAATAATTCTTGATGCAATAGTTTTGTGTTATCCAGATCTGCAAGTTATTTTTAAAATGTATTTATACAAAAAGAAATGGGAAAATAAATTTATATATACACAAGAGGTTAGGTCTGTCTATAAATCTAAATAAAATAGAGTATATTACATTGATAACTAAAACATCTAACTTTTAAAAATGTTCCTAAATAATTGAAAGCTTACTTTTTTACATGGATTTTTTTTTTCATTTGTTTATGCTTAAAAGTCATTTCCTCTTATTTTTTTATGTTGACATACTCTGCTTTAACAAACTTGTTAAAAAGAAGCAGCCTTTAATCTATGGGGTGTTCTTTTCCTTATCGCCTTAGGAGTCAGTGGAGTACTGGGGGAAATGCTGCTTGTCCTGTGCCCTGGACTGTAGAAAGAAGATGCCGAAAGCAAAGTACATGTATCTGGCTCAAGAGCTCTTGGTTGACCCAGAATGGCCACCAAAACCCCAGACGACAACAGAAGCTAAAACTTTAGTTAAAGAAAATGGATCATGTCAAGTCATCACCATTACGTAGCAGCGCACCAGTCTTGGTGGGATGTTAGCAGCAGTATTGAACAGAATGTAATTTAGGACCTTCTGATCCTTTGTGTCAGATGGCATCATTTCAATCTGTGTTCTTTCTGATATAGTAGATGATTTCAGAGCTTTTTTAAAAAACAAAAGAAACCAAAATAAAAGATTGGCATGCCAGCTAAATTAATAATCAGTGAAGTCCTCTTTCTTCAGTAACTCTGAATATTGTATTTCCACAATTTTCTTGATTGTTACCCTCAGTAATACTCTTTACTAATATATAAGAATATAGGGTATAGAAGAAAGTAGGTATTTGGTAGGGTTTTAGACATTAGCCTTTGAGACTTAGTTTACATCTTTAAATTTATTTTCACAACTCCTCTTAGAAAAGGCCCTAAATCTATGATCAGCCTCTAGTGAAAATAGTTAAAAAGCCTGTTGTTTTCATTTGATTCTAACATTTCTTCCAAAGAATTATATATATACACACCAGGTTCCTTTGATAGTCTAGAGTTAGGAGTAAGTTTAATGGTGTTGCTTATAGAACAACTCAGGTAATTTCCACTTACAATTTTATATTTTCTGTACAAACTGCCTGGGTTTTATTTTTTTAATCAGCAAGGTGCTTCACTGTCTGTCTTTGGAGATGTCCCTCAAAACAATGTGTTTGTGTGTTGTCTGGGGTCAGTAGTGTAATTTGCTTTAGTTAAATGTAAACTTTTTTCATTAAGAAAAATATTTCTTTTGGTAATAGATGTGGATCTATCTTTCTGATATCTCTCTATATGTGTTCCCCCCCCCCCTCTCAAGTTTTATATTATTTTAAATGTCTTTTATTTTCTGCTTTTTTAATTTTCTAAAGACATTGTATAGTAGTGAGCTAGCATTTTTTTTTGAGTTAGATTTTTGCCTTCTAAAATCTTGAATATTTGATGTATGTCTATCCTATCAATAATAAGGCTTAAAAAATGAGCAGTTTTGAACAACTGCTGAATTTGTTCAAAGCAGAATGAACTTGGCGAGAGTGTTTCATGCCATTAGGTGGCGCTAGAGATCAGAGTTTATTTTGGATTGGATGTTTACAAATGAACATATTTTGGTGATGGCATTTTCTGGGAGAAAAGAAAAATGGAAGTAAAGTTAAAGAATAGACATTAATTGAATCAAAAGAAATGTGAATAATATTTTTCACCTTCCTGTTTTGCCTAGTTAAAGCTTAAATTCTAAACAAAATAAAAGTAACTTTAAAAATGCCTTTACAGGTAAGATCCAGTAGTTTGACAAAGCCCACAGTCATGGATAAACAAGGAAACTGATACTGTTGTAAAACGGACACTAAACTTCTAAAAGTATGTGATATTATCCTGTGTTCTTCCTTAACCAATAGCATGTGTATACTGTTCACTTCCAGCTGGTCATTATTTTCCTGATCTGTACTTACCAATTTACCAAATGTTACCCAGAACTGTAGAATCAAATGATTCTCATTTTTTTTTTGTGGTGCAGAGATATGAATGATGTTTGGTAACTATAGAAAAATGTAAGTTACACTCAGGATCACTGTTATTGCTATTGCCACTGATGATTCTCACATACACTAAAAAAGTTTCCATCAAAAAACATAGTACGCTATTACTACACATTAGATGATAAAACAATTGTTCCATGGATGATTCTATGAAGCTATGCATCTTAGACCTCTTGAGCTGTGAATTAGCACTGTTTTCTATAGTTACTTATTCTCTTGATTGTTTTATAATTTCCACATTTATTTTCAACATGTATAAGTGTTATTCTTCAGTGATTTTCCCAGAATTGTAAATCTTATTATTTGATTTAAATACTGAAGCGTATAATTAAGGTAATTGCTAAGTAGCAGCTTAAAAAACTCAATTATCAGATTGTATTTAACATCTTTAAGAGCATGATCATAAAGAGCTATATTTTTTACACCCTCCCTTTTTTTAATATTTAGATAGTATAAGGGTTTTATATCTCATCTCTCTATATTGCTTTCAAAGGAATAAGGTTTTTGGTAGGTGGAAAAGCATTTGTAGGAAGTTAGATTTGAACATAGACTAAGTGGGTTGTTCAAGTTGTAATTGAGCTTCCAGAAATATTATTTGAGGAATGTTTGTGAATATAGGTGTGCTCCTACTCAGTGCCATAGATAGAGTTCTCTCTCTGTAGGTCACCATTACGTAGTAATTTTGATTCTTAATTTCACATTAAATTATTTGAGTGTATACAGACCTAAATTTTAAAATCTGTACATATATTATTTTGATTTAAGATTAATATTGCCGCTTTAAATTTTATTTATGCACATACTTAAGGACAGAAATGTCTGGGAAAATAATTGTTAAATTAATGATATGTAACTTTTTAACTTTTTAAATAAATAACAAGATTTTTAATGTGTGTCTCCCTCAGGGTTGTTTAAAGTTTTTTTTCTCCCTCAAATATAAATAGTGGTGACTGTTTTGTATCTTCTAGCACCAACTGCTGTAAGGCATTGCTGCAAATAATGCTTGAATAAAAGTGGCTAAGCCAACAACAAAATGAATACTTTTATATTAGTTTTATAATCCTTGCATTTGAGAGCTTTCCAAATTGCACATGCATTTAAACAGAACTGTTGCAGTTTTTACTGTATTTATTTTGTTACCCCTGTTTATGAAAATACTGCACAGTTTCAAAGGCATGGTAAAAATATCAGTGTTTATATATTTTGTTTCCAAAACAGCTATATATACACTGTTCAGAGAAGAGCAAAATTCAAGCGTTAGGAAATGTTCTAAGAGTTCTTGCATGTAATTTTGACATATTTTGTATATTTATGGTGGGAGGTGGTTGGGAACTTTTAACAAAATATGGGATGTTAATTTTTGTACAGTCTGTGGGTATTTACACATATTTTTAATGTATTAAAATTTGGTAATTATGTGCACATTAAATTAATAAAATAGTTAACTTCCTGTTATGATTTGTTAATTCCTTAAGACTTTGGAATTTTTTTAAGAAACTTTATATCAGAAATGATATTGCATCTTTATATTTTTAAAATTATATTGCTGCTCAAGAATGGTACCCTGATGTCAAAAAGGCATACATTCATAACTGTACATTCAGCACTGTAAATAATTGTATGAAATTTTTTTTGATTGAAGCATTCAAAATAAAAATCTAAATGAATAAAATAGCATTCTTTTTTCTGTGTCTTTATACATGTTTGCTTTTTAGTTCAGTGGGTTTATTTTCCTGTTTAATACTTTCCCATTTCCTTTTTTAACATTGGGGGTTTTTTTTTAAGATTGTTTTTATTTATTTCAAATAGGGAGGGAGGGAGGAAGGGAGGGAGAGAGGGAGGGAGAAACATTAATGATGGTGCCCAGCCACCGTGGCTCAGTGGTTGAGCATCAGCCCAAGAACCAGGAGGTCATGGTTCAGTTTTGATCAGGGCACATGCTTGGATATTGGCTCAATCCCAGAGGGGGGTATGCAGGAGGCAGCCAATTAATGATCCTCATTATTGATGTTTCTATCTTTCTCCCTCTCCCTTCCTCTCTGAAATAAAAACATTTTTAACAAAAACAAACATCAATGATGTGAGAGAATCAGGGATTGAACTCAGACATATGCCTTGACTGGGAATCAAAACTGTGACCTTCTGGTTCCTAGGTTGATGCTCAACCACTGAACCCACCAGCCGGGCTAATTTTGGGTTTTGAAGGAAGTAAATGCATCATTCCACATTTATGTCTGTGGTCACATACAGTGTAAAGCCAAATGTTAAGTGGCAGAAGGTCTGAGGGACATGGTGAACTATAAAATTAGGGAGTCCATGAATAGTTGGGAAGATCAAACCAAAAGCTAATAGCATGTTTAAGACGATGCGTTGGAAGTGAAGGATTTGTGGGTGCCAAAAGAGCCCTCCGAGGGGGGAGAAGCTGTGGAGCTGAGCGCTGGCCATAGAAACCCCAGGGGAAGGCAGGTTTGTGCTTGGGAAGGTGTTGCCTCGTATGGCAGGCTCTGCAGGAGACATGCCTCCTCTGCGGTGGACTGCATGGCGGGCTGTGATCCGGTGGACTTGGGTGGTATGAACACCAGTTTGAGCTCACGTTCTCCCATGCACTATTGTTTGTCTAGCAAATGATCATGTCCCTACAGCTTGCTGCTGTGGGCACAGTTCCTCTTATCTTCCCTTCCTCTCCCCTCTTTACTGCCAGTTACTTTATTCTTAGCTGTATATTGTAAGGAAGGACAGAAGGAATTGTATGAGTTTGAACAAGACTGTCCCTGTTCATAGTTGGGATTGTGGTTACTCCACAGGTATTACTTCTGCTGTGTCCCAGCCTCTGTGTCCCCTATGGGGGCGGAAAAGCATGACTCATCCAGGCAGACTCCTGCTTTTGAATGGCCAAAACCTCATAGGCCAGAGCTCTGTGACTTATACAGAAGCCATTTGGGACAGCAGGTTTCTGACCTGTTCCACAGATCCCAGCTCCAAAGATGAACACAAGAGCCATCAACTTCATTACTCAATGCTTCTCAGCACTGTGTCTATTCAGTGGATCAACTCACAGTGTTGCTACATTGTCTGCAACTTCTGGACCCAGCTCTCCCTTCTCGGGCAATCAAAATGCCCTGCTCTCTTCAAAGAACAAAACTTGGAGATCTTCCTGGGGAAATAGGCTAAAGAAGCTTCGCTGGAATTTGACTCCAAGTCACTGACTAGTCCACAGCACTTCTTCCCAATCTCTATCACATTGGCTCCCCGGCCTTTTCCTGGGCAAAGGGCCTTTCACCTGGTGTGCCTTTGCATGTCTGACTCACTGTGCCACCACAGCATGTGTTCTGGGCTGAGTTCCTTTTTTTCTTTATAAAAACAAATATTTTATTGATTTTTTACAGAGAGGAAGAGAGAAGAATAGAGAGAAACATCGATGAGAGAGAGACTGATCAGCTGCCTCTTGCAGACACCCCACTGGGGATGTGTCCGCAACCAATGTACATGCCCTTGACTGAAATCAAACCTGGAACTTTTCAGTCCACAGACCGACGCTCTATCCACTGAGCCAAACTGTTTTCGGCTCGAGTTCCTTTTCTTGATTGGAGCTCAAAGATGGCCTATGACCCCTGGCAAAGGGAGTGGCTTCCCTGTGCTTTAGGACTTCATGACTTAGAGGTGATTTCAGCCAATACAGCATTTACTGGGCTTTACCTACATTTGGCTCCATCAAACACTGCTTGGATTTCAGTGCTTTCAGACATATCTGCAAATGTCATGGATCAGGGAATTTTTCTCAACCAGGGTGAAATAATTTAAGGATCACTTCTGTACCACTCCACTCAGTGATTCAGAGGTTAATGTTTATTCTTTCACAATTCAAGCCTTGACTTTTTCCAGTATGTTTTAATACCTTTATCCTTATGTGTTTTTCCCTTAATGATTCCATTTTCTCTTCCAAATCACTTTATTTTTGCATTTAAATTTTAAAAATGCAATTGTGATATAAGCATGTTTAGTAAAAATTTAAACCTCACAGAAAGGTATATAAGGAAGTCCACCTATTCCCTGGCTTCTCCCCCAAAAGATGAATACTGAAGTTTCTTGGTGTATCATTCCAGGAAAAAAAAATATGTGTATATCCTCATGTAAATATATGTTTTTAAAAATGCTACACAAGCGGAATCCCATTGCATATGCTCCGCTGCCCTTGCTTTCTGTCATTTAGTGTGTCTTTAAAAGTACGTCAGCACTTGAAGCTCAACCTTATTACCTTTAAAGTCTGCACGGCATCCCACTGCGTGGACTTGCCATAATCTAGGCATCTTGTTCCCGGTGATGGTCATGTAGGTTTTTGTTTCTTTTTCTGTTACAAATCCACAATAAGTGTTATGCTCATTTAGATAAGCATATCCATGAAGTATATTTTTATCAGTGGAATGGCTATACATACAGAATGTGTATATTGTATTTTAAATTTGGTTGATACTATTAAATTTTTCTCTGAAAAGTTTGCCCCAATTTTTATGCCCACCAATGTTGTATGAAAATGTCTAGTTTGCCCTTTATAAAACCCTCTATTTTCAGGCTTTGAACATGAAGTTATTTTCGTATGGGGTACGGTGCAGAATTTTCAAACAGCTCAGAAACAGACCCACAGACTCAGTCACTAATGAGGTGCTGGTTCGTGAGGAAGAGGGTTTTACAGAAGCAGGACTAGGACAGCTGGGTATCCTAATGGGAAAAATAAACTGGACTCGACTCACATCGTACACAAAAACAAACTATAGATGGATTAAATAGACCTAAAAGTGAAGGACAAAGCTATAAACTTAAGGCGTTATAGGGAAATAGTTTTCTGATTTTGGAGGGAAGGGGGAGTTTATTTTAATAGACACAAAAATTACAAATTAGGAAAGATGGATAACTGCCTACCACAAGACTAAGGTCTTTTGACCTCATACAGAAGGTTAAAAGGCAAGTCACTAACTAGTTGAAGATATTTATAACACCTATAACCAACCAAGGACTCGAATCCAGAATATATTAAAATGCCTATAGTTCAGTTTTTTAAAGACATAGCATACATACTTTGCATATAGACAAATAGGCAAGGGAAAGCTGAATTTCTCAGAAGATAAAGTGGCCCTTAAACTATGAAAAGAGTCGAGCCCATTAAAAACCATCCTGACAATCATTTCACATGAATTGCAAAAAGTATATTTAAAAAAATCAATCCCAAGTATGGGCAGAGCTGTGAAGCACAGGGACTGTCCTGCACCGCAGGTGGCATCACGTATGGGTACAACTGCTGTGGGAGGCAGTTTGACAGTCCTAAGTTGAACATGTGAACATCCTTCAACTCACTCAGTGATGCATAACTGAACATCTTTGAGAATGTTTTCAGCCTTATTAATTCTAAAAAGAAATAGAGTGGAGCACTGGAGGCTAGTCTACGCCTTATTATTCATCCAAGGAGGAGAGGAATGGATTAGACTCACTGAGTGTTTCCCAAAGTGTGGTACACGTACCCCCAGGGGTATGGGAAGAGTTTGGTGGGGGTACACGTTGCAATGAAGTTTGGTGGGATATGCACTGCACTGTGCTTAGCTGCGCCTAATTCTACGTTCTCATGAGTACGAGGGATACTCAGCGTTACGAAAATTATAAAAGGGGTACACATATGTCAAAAGTTTGGGAAACACTGGATTTGAGAACCGGGGTAGTGTGGCATGAAAAGGAAGCCTGGGGCAAGCCTGGCCCATCCAGGGGTGTGGCTACTGCAATGTATCACTGAGCTTTTCCAGCTCCACAGAGCTAGGTTGTGCCATTTATGGAGAAACTTCTCTCTCTCCTGCTCTTGTCATTCAGCTTTGACAGCAGGATGTAGGTTATATATAGTTGCTTTCAGTTTGAAAATACTTGTCATTAAAAATCCCGAATATGCCTCCTGAGATAGGGCCCTCTCCATGACTTTCATTCTGATGAAGTCTTTATCCTGAGGATGCAGGGTCCCGCCCTTTTCCTTTGGAAAGTGCCGAATCACAGGCGAGGCTCTCAGCCTCTCAGTTGCTTTGGGGAGCAGTGCCATTCCAGGTAAGGCCGAATATTTTAAAATTAGAGGGCTTGGCGAGTTCATGCGTGCATAAGAAATGGAATGTAGCTACGAGAAACGATTTGTGTAAAATGACACTTGGGAAACATTGTTTTGGCAGATTCGTATTCCTGTGTGTATTTCACAGATGATTTAGTGCCAGGAGTGTTAATTTTCAAACAGTTTAGAAATAATAGCTTCTTATTTATGGTTCAGTCAGATATACTACTCTCCAATTCTAGCTCTGGGACCCTCATGAAGTCCCTTAAATGCCCTATGCCTTAGTTGGGGATAATAATAGTATGTACTTCATAGGGTTAGGTAAAGATGAAATGAATCGATTCAAATACAAGTGCTGGGAAGAACGCCTGGCATTGAGTGATATGTGTTATTTCCTGCGTTTCCCAGTGTGGCTGAGGGGGTTCACTATTTGGGGGTGTCCGCTGTTCTCGTAGAGGAGTTGGTATTGCAGATAATGTAGCTATGACCAAAGGATTCAGGTGGTGGCTGTCATATGAACACTTTGCTGTTTCCTCCGTGACTTGGCTACAGCCAGCCCTGGGTGAGTACAAAGTCAAGAGCAGAGCTCTTTTGCCATGGGCACTGCTCTGCCATAGCTGGAGCTGGAATGTGGGAATAATTACTTAATGAGTTCTATGTAAAGATTTTATTTTTATTTTTAAAAAAATATATTTTATTGATTTTTCACAGAGAGGAAGGGAGAGAGATAGAGAGAAACATCGATGAGAGAGATACATCGACCAGCTGCCTCCTGCACACCCCCCACTGGGGATGTGTTCGCAACCAATGTACATGCCCTTGACTGGAATCGAACCCGGGACCTTTCGGTCCGCAGGCTCTATCCACTGAGCCAAACTGGTTTCGGCCTATGTAAAGATTTTAAAGTATTGGCTCTTCACTAGCTTGCAAACACGTCCCTTCCCATGCTTTGTACAGAGAGTGGGAAATCAGTAAAACAAAAGAATGAGACGTCCGCGGTGCAGAACGAATGGATAGATTTTTACCACCCAGGAGAACCTGCATCTCTAAGCAAAGCGGGAGACTTACATATGGATTACAGAGGCAGTGATAATCCTGGCGGAGGAATCCCGCCTCTGCAACCTTAAATGCCCAGGGTTACAAGAGCGCATGCGAATTTTTTTTAAAAAATATATATTTTATTGAGTTTTTACAGAGATGAAGAGAGAGGGATAGAGAGTTAGAAACATCAATGAGAAAGAATCATCAATTAGCTGCCTCCTGCACACCCTCCACTTGGGATATGCCCGCAACCAAGGTACATGCCCTTGACCGGATTCGAACCTGGAGTCTTCAGTCTGCAGGTAGACGCTCTATCCGCTGAGCCAAACCGCAGGCGAATGTTTGATGTCTGCCCTTGTTGTGTGCTGTCCCCACAGGCGGCCGACATGCTGCGGGGCGCCCTGCTGTGCGCGGTGCTGGCGCTCCTGCGCGCCCAGCCGGCGCCCTCCCGCTGCCCGCCCACCTGCGGCTGCTCCGTCCGGGACGCGGTGCAGTGCTCGGGGGTCGACGTGGAGCGCATCGCGGAGCTCGGCCTGCCCACCAACCTCACGGTCCTCATGCTGTCCCGCCTGGGCCGCGGCACCCTGCGGAGCGACAGCTTCCGCGGCATGACGGTGCTGCAGCGCCTCTTGCTGACCCAAAGCCACATCGCCGCCGTCGCCCCGGGCGCCTTCCAGGACCTGGGGAACCTGAAAACCCTCCGGCTGTCGCACAACCACATCCCGGACCTGCCGGGCGCGCTCTTCGACAGCCTGGTGCTCCTGGAGCATCTGTATCTGGACCACAACGCGCTGACGCGCCTCGATCCACTCCTGTTCCGGAACCTGGTGAACCTGCAGCTCCTCTTCCTGAACGTGAATCAGCTCGTCTCCCTCCCCGCCGGCCTCTTGGCGCAGCTGCGGGGCCTGCGGGTGCTGGACCTGTCGGCGAACAATCTGACTCACTTGCCCCCGGGCTTGCTGGGTGCGCAGGACAAGCTGGAGAAGCTCGTGCTCCGTTCCAACCGGCTCACGGCTCTGGATCCGGGGCTGCTGAGCGGCCCGCGCGCTCTGGCAGAGCTGCAGCTGGACGGCAACCGCCTCCAGGCCCTGTCGCCCGGGGCCTTCGACCAGCTCCGTGACCTGAGCATCCTGACGCTTTCCAGGAACCAGCTCAGGTCCCTGCCCTCCGCCCTCTTCCTCCATCTGCACAACCTGACCTCCCTGGCGCTGCACGAGAACCCGCTGGAGGAGCTCCCGGCCGTGCTCTTCGGGGAGATGGCGGGCCTGCGCGTGCTGTGGCTGAACGGCACCCAGCTGCGCACCCTGCCCGACGGCGCCTTCCGCAACCTGAGCGGCCTGCGGGCGCTGGGGCTGACCCTGAACCCGCGCCTGGCCGCGCTCCCCGACGGCGCCTTCCGCGGCCTCGGCCAGCTGCGCCAGCTGTCGCTGAGCCGCAACGCGCTGCGGGCCCTGCCCCGCGGGCTCTTCCGCGGCCTCCGCGGCCTCGAGTGGCTGCGGCTCGAGCACAACCTGCTGCAGACCCTGCCGGGCGACGTGTTCGAGGGCCTGCCCCGGCTGTCGGAGGTCCTGCTGGGCCACAATCCCTGGCGCTGCGACTGCGACCTGCGGCCGTTCCTGGCGTGGCTGAGGCAGCACCCCGGCCTCACGGGCCACGTGGAGCAGTCCCCGCGGTGCCAGGGGCAGCCCTCTGGCCTGCTGCTGCACGCCCTGTCGGACGGTGACCTGAGGTGTCCGAGCACCAGGGCCCCGAGCACTCCCCACTCTCTCGCCCTCACCAGGCTGGTCCTGCCCGTGGCCCGCGATCGCCCAGCCTGGGTGCCTACCAGCCCAGAGCCCTGGGCGCGGGCCCAGCCGGTGGCCGAGGGCCAGCGTCAGGACCATCGCCTGTTCTGGGGTCTTTATTTGCTGCTTTTAGCCACGCAGGCCGTCATAACCGGGGTCATTGTGTTTGCTATGATTAAACTCCTCCGGCTCTTCCGAAAATTAATCAGAGAGAGAGCTCTGATTTGAGCCAGCGGGGGAAACCTTGTAACGAATGAAAAGACCACCAGGGTATTGTTAGGTGTGACTCTGGGAGAGTCCAGACAGATTGCTGCCCTCCCCTCTGCTCTCAAACCCACCTCTCTGTCTCCTCCTTCTCCTCCCTCCCTTTCCTAGAATTGCCTTTACCGTTGTAAATTGTGACAGCTTGCTTTGCTTCATCCTTCACCGTGAGGTCCTGGGAATGTGGGTTGTGTTCACCTCATCTCTGTGCCCCTGTGCCCGGTGGAGAGAGGGCTACCTCAGAGCGTCCTGAGGAAGGGTGCGGGAGAGCCGCCACCTCCAGGCCGGGGTCTGGCTCCTGTCTGGCAAATGAGCAATAAATGAATAAAATGAATACACACCATCCAAGTGGTAGTGGCTTTTCCTGGGGAAAGGAAGGATTGTTCTCTTTATTTACTTTTGTTTGAAAAAGCAGAACTCTTCCAGTTCTTTTCTTTGTCCTATTTTTCTCCTCCTCCTCCTCCTCCTCTTCCTCCTCCTCCTCCTCCTCCTCTTCCTCCTCCTCCTCCTCCTCCTCCTCCTCCTCCTCCTCCTCCTCCTCCTCCTCCTCCTCCTCCTCCTCCTCCTCCTCCTCCTCCTCCTCCTCCTCCTCCTTCTTCTTCTTCTTCTTCTTCTTCTTCTTCTTCTTCTTCTTCTTCTTCTTCTTCTTCTACTGTTTGTACCTCTGTGGACTATTTGGGAGAGAGAGGGTGGGACTCCTTCACGCAGTGCAGGCTGAGAGAGAAAAGAGCACAGGGCCTTCCCTCCAGGAGTGCAGCAGTGACAGTCAGGCTTGAGCGCCAAGGAGCAGGAGAAAGGGCCCTGGGGAGCGTGGGTGGAGCAGAGATTTGAGACAAGTGGGAGCTCACCAGGAGCTTTAAGTGTGTGTGTGTGTGTGTGTGTGTGTGTGTGTGTCCCACAGGGTGGGGGTGGGGCATTGATTCAGAGAGTCCCTGTGTGTGTGCGCCTGCAAAGACTTATGAAACTGCTATGAGAGAGAAGTCTACCATTGACACTGAACTAAATGCTACCTCATTTCACAAGCAGTTATGGAGCACCTGCCATGTGGCAGGAGTTCATGGATGCAATGGCAAGCTTGGTTTCCGGTTTATTGTGCTTGACCTCATTCTTGTTTATTCTTCCGATGGAAAGCGGTAAAAACCTTGTTGCTTTCAATGGATGCCCGTGAGCAGCAGTGGTTAAAACACGGGTGGAGTGGTGACAACCGTGGGTTCAAATCCCAGCTCCCCCATGTACTAACTGCACAGGACGAGGGGCCGGATACTTGGGTTTCCTTGAAGTCCCTGGCAAGGGATGCAGAGTGCCTGCTTCACAGAGCTGTGAGAATCAGAGGCATCAAAGCCTGTGACAGCAGCGCAGTGCCCAGCGAACAGTCACTGCTCCCATGTCAGCTCTTCTTAAAGGCCAGGCCATGACCTGTGGCACTGCCATCCTGACTTCTAACGAAGAGCTCTGGCTGCCTTTTCTTCTCTCTGTGTGTAGAGGTGAGAGCGAGCTTCCTCAAACGGAAGGTTACCTTCACCCAGTTCGTCTTCATGCATGTGTGGCCTCAGCCCTGTGCAGGCAGGCTCTGTGCTGCCAGGCCGGAGCAATGGATCCTCGGAACAACGCCGACGGGACATGGAGTAGGGATTGCTGGGTTCCTGGCATTTGTAGGCGCACTTCTCCTTCAAAGCCACGTTCAAATGTCCCCTCCTGGTAAAGCATTTCCAGACTGCCCGGCAGACTGCCGTGTTCCCGCTGTGTGCCCCCCTCGCAGGCTGTCCGGCACTTGGCACCCTCCCCACCCCGTCTGCTCCTGGTCACCCTTCACTCAGGTGTGTGTGTGTGTGTGTGTGTGTGTGTGTGTGTGTGTATGCTCATGTGCCTCCTTGTATCATTTATTTCTACTGTTCCAAGTTTTGCAACCACCTATAGCGTAAAACCCAGACTTCTTTGATGCATTACGAACTCCAGTCCTAACCACTATGCTCTCGGGCAAGCGGCCTCCCTCTCGAAGCCTCCATTTCCTCCCCTGAATGGTGAGGATAGTTACGGTCCTTACCTGGTTGAAAGAACAGAATATAATAACTCAGGCCAAACAGTTAAGTCAGTAGCTGGTGCATGTGGACTCAGTAGAAGTAGGCTATTGCTATGATAGCTCTTTTGGATTTTTAAAATATATATATTTTATTGATTTTTCACAGAGAGGAAGAGAGAGGGATAGCCAGAAAAATCGATGAGAGAGAGAATCATCGATCAGCTGCCTCTTGCACACCTCCCACTGGGGATATGCCTGCAACCAAGGTACATGCCCTTGACCGGAATCAAACCTGGGACCTTTCAGTCTGCAGGCTGACGCTCTATCCACTGAGCCAAACCGGTTTCGACTAATAGCTCTTTTGAACACGCTGTGTTTTAACATATTTCACTGCCTTTGCAGAAGTTCATTCATTCAGCAAATGTTTGTTAAGTACCTCCTCTGTACCTGGCCCTCTTCTAAGTGGAGGATGGAGCAGTGGCTAAAACCAAGTACTCACTTCCATTGGGCTTCCATTTTGGTGTCCCCTCCAAAGAAAACATCTCCCATGGCCATTATCTTTAAACATTCAAAAAAAAGTTAAGAGAATAACTTTGGACACCTGTACCTGCTTTATACAATCTTTATTCTTTGCTTTATTTGCTACAGATATTTTAAAAAATATATTTTGTTGATTTTTTACAGAGAGAAAGAGAGAGGGATAGAGAGTTAGAAACATCGATGAGAGAGAAGCATCGATCAGCTGCCTCTGTACCCCCCTCCCCCCACAAATGCCTCCATCGCAAAGATACGAATAGAATACATGCTCATTATGATTTGCATGTTTGCTTTTTGTTTGTTTCCACTGAGTGGAGGCATTTCCTTGCAGGAAAGCAACAGCCTTAACAACAGGTAAATTACTATTGGGAAAAATTAACTCCCAATTGGGAATTCCCTCTGAGTTACAGGAACTGAGGGATTCATTCACTGGGCAAATAATGCAATCCATTCGTATTATTTGGTCTATTCTACAATATTTTCATCGTACCCATTACCCCAGCTCTCTGGGTTGGTAGAACATGAAAATGGCACCATTAAAGTTCAACTAGTTAAGTTTTCAGAAGCCTTTCATTTCCCTTGGCCAAAAGCTCTCCTTATATGCTCCTGGACCTGAAATCGACTTCTTTTGGTAAACATATAGCTTATCTCCTCATTAAATAGTCACTGGTCACCCTATGCATCTGGATGAAAGGTCCTATGAATCAGCCTTACTAAAAGGAGACATTCTGGCTGAAACCGGTTTGGCTCAGTGGATAGAGCGTTGGCTTGGGGACTGAAGGGTCCTGGGTTCCATTCCGGTCAAGGGCACGTACCTTGGTTGTGGGCACATCCCCAGTGGGGAGTGTGCAAGAGGCAGCTGGTCGATGTATCTCTCTCATCGACGTTTCTAACTCTCCATACTCTCAATTCCTCTCTGTGTAAAATTAATAAAATATATTTTAAAAAATCTTTAAAAAAAATAAAAGGAGAAATTCTGCATTATTATCAGGAACTTATCAACCAGCTTACAGGGACGGGTTAATAAATGGATACATTAGTGACATTCATTTCACAGTGCACTCTCAGCAGACAAGACTTCGAGGACCGTGGCTTACAACCAGGAGATTTTGTCCACTGGAAAATTTAAGACTTTCTCCAACTCAGTGGAAGGGATCTTAACCACGAATAGACAACTGCCCCTGTCTATGACATTGCCTCCCTCCTCCTACAGCAGAGATCAGACAGACTCCTTGAGGATAAGAAGCACTGACATCAGGGATAAACAGCTTTCCCAAGACATCCACAAGGCCTGTAGACCTACAAACTGTGAACATGGTTCATCTTACCAATTTTCTAGGTCTTTTCTAATCTTTCAGTGAGGTTTCAGAATTCTTTCATAAAATCTTGCACAAATATTGTTAGGTTTATTCCTAGGTCTGCTCCCCTATTGTGAATTCTTGTTGCTACTGTAGTTGTTATCACTTTTTTAAATTACATTTTCTGATTGCTTCTGATTCCAGGTATATGGAAATGGAATTATTTTTACATAATTATATTTTATCTGACAATAAATATAATAATTCGTTTCTTCCTATTGAAAACATATCTTTTATTTATTTATCTTTCTATCTTAAAAAAATCCTATCTGCACTGGCTAAAACTTCCAATATAATGTCAAACAGAAATGGTGATAATGAGTGTTCTTAAAAGCATCTGATTGCAACTAAAATGTCTCTAAGGTTTCATCAAATGTGACATTTCTTTTTTATATAAAGGTAATTTTTAATTGGAGGCACATAGATTTTTAAAAAATATATTTTATTGATTTTTTTACAAAGAGGAAGGGAGAGGGATATAGAGTTAGAAACATCAATGAGAGAGAAACATCGATCAGCTGCCTCCTGCACACCCCCCTCTGGTACCAAGGTACATGCCCCTGACCAGAATCAAACCTGGGACCCCTCAGTCCACAGGCCAATGCCCTATCCCCTGAGCCAAACCAGTTTTGGCCACATAGATTTTTTAAAAATTGATTTTTACGAGAGAGAGGAAAGGAGAGAAATAGAGAGATAAAACAACATTGATGGAGAGAAACATCATAGATTGGCTGCCTCTTGCACTCCCCCTACTGGGGATCAAGCTTACAATCCTAGACATGTGCACTGACTAAGGATCAACTTGGTTCCTGGGTTGATGCTCAACTACTGAGCAATACTGGTCAGGCTAATGTGACATTTCTAACTCTAGTTAGTTAAGTATTTTTTTAAGTCATGGGTAAATGTTAAATTTTATCAATATTTTTTCATCTATTAAGATGCATATGTAGTCTTTCTCCTTCAATGTGTTAAAGTGGTTAATAAAACTTACAGATTTTGAAAAATAAATTCATTATTGCATTCCTGAAGCAAACTGAGCCTGGTTATGCATT